AGAACAGCTTGAGAGTGAAGTGAAGACATGGTCACAGAAGTGAGTAGCTGACCAGCAGCAACGATGCTGGAAGGCTTTTATGATGGTGAATGCAAGAGTAGAGGGACAATGGGGTGGAGGAAGAAGAGGATTTGGGAAAAAAACAAAAAACAAAAAACCCCAAAAACAAAAAAACCCCAAAATCTATTCCACAGAGGTGCTCTCCAGAGGCAGAGGCAGGCAGATCTCTGAGTGTGAGGCCAGCATGGTCTACAGAGTGAGGACAGTCAGGTCTACACAGGTAGATCCTGTCTCAGAAAAAAAAAAGAAAGAAAGAAAACAAACAAACAAACCACCACCACCACCACCACCACCACCACCACCACCACCACCACCACCACCACCAAAACCAAGGAAGCCAGCTATCTAGGAAGCAGAAAGTACTGAGGGTGAATGGCTGAAGTTGAGGTAGTGGCCAGATGTCTTACTGTCCTTTCTGGAGCCACTCTAGATTGTTCAAGCTCTTTCTGATGCTATTTGATTCCAGGAATGTTAATTATAATTATCAATTACTTGTTTGCATTCTTTTTTTGTCCCAAAATCCACTATCTTGATCTATTATTCCATAGTTTACTTATTTTGTTTTAGTTGGTAGTCCAGTTTTCAGTACATCCCTTGGCTACATCAGAGGGGCAAACTTCTCAAGGCAAGAATCTAAGAGCAGCGGAGTGCAGTGGAAAGAACTGTAGTCAGAAGGGCCAGTCCTGCTCTAAAAGCCTCATGGGACTTCTGTTAGATTACTTCTTTGGACTCTTTTCTTCCTTAAATGTAGAAGTGAGCCAGGTTGGGGTTGGAGAGATGGCTCAGCAGTTAAGAGTGTTCACTGCTCTCGTAGAGAACCAGAGTTCAGTTCCCGCGCTCCATATCCGGCAGCTTACACTTATGTGTAACTCCAGCTTCAAGGGGCTCCATGCCCTCTGTTGGCCTCCATCAGCACTGTCATGTGCACAAACCCACACACAGACACATACCCATAATTAAAAACACCCTCCCCCCATTTTAGATTAATTTATGTGTATGAGTGTTTCGCCTACATGCATATATGTGAACCAGGAGGTCAGAAAAGTTCCAGATCCCCTGGAACTGGAGTTATGGACACTGTGAGCCACCATATGGGTGTTGGGGATGGAACCCTGGTCCTCTGCAAGAACAACAAATGCTCTAAACCAATGAGCTATCTCTCTAGCCCCATGTCAATCCTCTTACCTTGAAGAAATCAGTTTTAATACTTAGCTGCTTAGATAAACAAGGAATAGTTAAGGCATGTATTCTATCTACTCCTAAGCACTCTCCCAGATCCTTAGGGTCTAGCAGGGCAAGTCTTCTCCCCCAGAAGTTAATCATTTTGAAATCATAGCTTTGCTACTTTATTAATCTGTTATCTTACGCATGGTATTTAACCTGTGCCTTGTTTTATTTTCATCCACTAAAACATGGCTACAGTGATGGCTATTCTTGGTTGTCAACTTGACTACATCTGGAATGAACTAAAACCCAAGTGGCTGGGTACACCCGTGAGGGATTTTTTTTTCTTAACTAAATTGTTTGAAGTGGGAAGATTTACTTTTCATCTGGATCATCTGGGGTGAGTAGATTCATCTTTAATCTGAGCCACATCTTCTGCTGGCAGCCTGTAGGAAGGACACGGAAGAAGGAAGCTTGCTGTCTTTGCTTTACTTGCTCTTTCTGGCAAGTCTATTCCTTCACTGGCATAGAGCCTACTTGCTCAGGATTCCAGTGTGTACTGAAGACCAGCTGAGACACCCAATCTCATGGACTGAACAACTACTAGATTCTTGGACCTTCTGTTGGAAGATGGCTGTTGTTGGGACTAGTTGGACTACAGCCTATAAGCCACTCTAGTAAATTCCATATATTATTTATTTATTTATTTATTTATTCTATCAGTTCTGTTCCTCTAGAGTACTATGACTAATGCAGTTACTATCAGGTTATTGTACAATTAAGGAAGCTAATATATGGAACAGCACCTGAAATAGAGAAAGCTGTGAATATATTTTAGTTATTATTTTATTATGTGCTAGGCTCCCTTTCCATAAAGAGCTTGTTGTAGCTAGGAATTTCAAATAACCATAACTCTATGTTTTGAGCTCTGTAACGTGATAAGTGTCAGGACATGGGAATGTCTATCTCATCCTAGAGAGACTGGTAGGGCCGGGGTAAGTTTCACGAGATGTAAGGAAGAAGGGTAGTCTAAATATGATCCTTAAGAGCAAAGACACTGGGAACATTTGGAAATACAAAGCAGTCAGAGACAGCAGAGAAAGGCTGTTACAGCCTTAGCTACAAAATCAATGTATTTAAGAGCTAGGCGCAGTGGCACATACTTGTGATCCCAGCACTCAGGAGGCTGAGGCAGGAGGATCTCAAGTTTGAGGCCAGCCTAGAATACATGGTGAGATCTTGTCTCTCAAACAACAAAAAATACCAATGAATGAAAAGAAAAAGGGGAAGATGTAAAATGGTATGAGCACTAGCATTGTTACTTGAGAGTTTGTTAGAAACAGGATCTGGCATTTTGCCAGGACTTTCATGCATTCTTGCTAAACATTAAGCTTGAGAACTACCATTGGCTGAAGGTGTAGACTCTGGATCAAGCTGCCCGAATTTATAACAAATAAAAGCTTCTATCATTTGTGTGTGTACATGCAGGAGGTCAGAGGAAAGTTTTGTGAAGTCAGTTCTCCGCTATCACATGAGTGGTTTCTGAAGATTGCATCCAGGTCACCAGGCTTGCAAAGCAAGTCTTTACTTGCTGAACCTTCTTGATAGCCCAGGCTGCCTAAATTTAAAACCTTGCTTTGTCATTTAATTATGTGGGTCCTTAGGGATGCCTTTAAACCTGCATCAGGGACTTATTTTTAACTAGGGATATAGTTAGTAATTGTAAGGACTTATGTAAAAGATGGAGGATTAACTCCAACAGTTGTTACTCATATTTGACTTATCATAAAAGTCAGGTTTGTTTGTTTTTTTGAGACAGGGCTTCACTATGTAACAGCCTTGGCTGTCCTCGAACTAGTTCTATAGACCAGTTCGAAATCAGAGAACCATCTGCCTCTGCCTCCCAAGTGCTGGGATCAAAAGTGTGTGCCATCACCACCTGGCCAAGAGTTAGGTTTTTGTTGCCTTTTTAAAAATTTATTTTCTGCATATGGGTGTTTTGCCTGCATGTCTGTGCACTACGTTCGTGTTGTGCACTACATCTGTGCAGCACCTGAGGAACTCCTGGATTATACAGGGTTGTGAGCCACCACATGGATGCTGGGAATGAAACCCAGCCCCTCTGGAAGAGGCCAGTGCTCTGAAATACTGAGCCATTTCTCCAGCCCTTTGTTACTGCCTTTTGAGACAGGGTACTATCATGTAGCCCTTGCTTCACCAGTTCCTGAACAGCTGTGCCTTTCCATTCACAGGATGGGCAAGCTTAATTACACCCGCCTGGTGGAGATGCTGCAAGGGTCAAATCAAAGAAATGTCTGGTAAATTACAAAGTCTCCTATTAATATTTAATTTACCACTTTATAAGGTATTCTTAAGCAACTGACCTCACAGTGTGCACAGGAAGATCAGGAGAGGCGTGTAGGAAATTTAAATGGTCCTTTTTATTCCTGACTAACCTACATCTCCATTCTAGAGAACGAAAAGACTCACATTCATGCAGTGGTTCAATTTATTAAAAACAAAACCACAAAACAACAACAAACCCAAAACGGTTTTGGTCACAGGGCCTCTTGCAGTTCAGGCTGACTTTGAACTCCCAATCTTCCTTCTTCCACTTTCCCAGTGCTGGGATTACAAATGTAATTCGTAGCGACCCATTTAGGAAAAGAACTTTCATTCACTTTGTGTATCTGAATATTCCCACAGAGTAGTTTTTGTCTCACTCCCCTCTCCCGCTTCGTGCTAGGAATCAACTTCAGGGTTACCGTTGGTTCTTGAGCATACTCTACCACTGAGCTAGATGTCCTTCCAGTGGTAACCCTAGTTTTCAAGGAAATTTGCTAACAGCAGGATGCATACTAACAATTCCTTTGGATTTCTGCACTTTCATTGCATCCGATGTTATACCAGAGTTCTACATTTGGAGGGAGGACACCACAAAATTTGATGGAATTTACAATACCAGAAACTAACTTTGATTTTTCGGATCGTTGTAACTGTAAAGCAGGGGGACAAGACTTCCACAACACGGTGTGGTTAAATAATAACAAAGGCAGAACGTGAACCTACCATGTCGTAGTGCCTCAAGTAAATCCCTTCTTCCCTTTGGCAGATATATCACAAGATATCGCTATCTTTTCTATTTTGCACATGGCGTAACCCCAAGTCGAGAACGCTCGGGTTCCCTTCCTCGACTTGCAACTCTTTAACACCGAGAAGGGGGTACGGGCCACTGTGAGGTCCTCTCTCTCAGTTCTCGTAGCGTAAATAATTTCTCTTGAGTTGTCGTCTTGGTGGTGGAAGGACGCTGATGATTGCTCCAAAGAGTCTGAGAAACCGGACCTTAATCCTCAGCCGTTCATCAGGGACCAAGCTGTGGTTCTTTTCATTCCTAACCTCGATAGAGTGAAGGTCGAAGCTCAGGTCCAATCACCGACACCATTTCGGCCGGTACGTGTGACGCCACACGTTTAGCTGAAAGAGCAGCCGATTGGCTGGGAAAGGCCGGGAGGAGAGGCGCGCGAAGCTAGAGACTGGAGGGTAATGTAGAAGCCAAAAGGAACTACACTCCCAGACTTCCTTGCGTACGCGACCGGCAAGCAGCGACAGAAAGAGGACGGAGTTTGGGCTCGGACTACAACTCCCAGTAGGCCCCGCAAGGCCGGTCCTTTCCTTTCAGAACGCGGTGGAAAAAGGACAGCGCGAATGGAGGCTTTTGAGTGCCCGTTTCTCAAAAGGCGGGAAAGGCGAACTACACCTCCCGACGAGCCGCGCGCGCTTGCGCCTGCGCTCTGGTATCTGTCGCCATCTTGCCCCTTCTGAGGCACCGCAAACAAACCTAATTCCTGGTGTCCCCTAGTCTTGGCGGAGGAGCCTTTTAGATGAGCCCCGAAAGGCCGGGCAGGTGGGTGTCTCTTAGGCAGGGTCCTGGGAAGAGCTGGCAGGTTATCCAGGGTACGGGGGCGCTGAGCCAGCCATTGGGAGCCCGGCTTGGGGCGGTCAGCCCCATCCTCCGTTGTTTCCTAACGGGATCGTGGGGCTCCCTCAAGTGGACTGAGGGGGACTCCGGCGCTCCTGGTGATGGGACACCGGAGGTCGAGGTCTAGGAACCCCGGGGTGAATCCGGACCGTCTGGCTGGCTGTCGGCATCCCTGCCTTTTCTCCGTTGTCCTCGCCACTGCGGAGAGCGCGAGGCGCGGACGCTGACCAAGGTTCCCGAGACCCGCTGCTGGCCACGGGGGCGCGGGCTTGACATTGGGACCGGCGCTGAGGCGCGCAGGCGAGGAGCCGGGCGGGCTGCTCTTGTGCTGCTGCTGTGAGGGAGTGCGTGTTTGGAGAGGGGGCGGGGCGGGCTGCCCGCTGACACTTGAGCGGGGGACCGAGTCGTTGCGACCCCGGTCCCCGGAGCGCGCTCCGGCCGCCCGGCTTTCCTTGGCTGTGCGGCCCCGCCGTAAGCTTCGCTAGAGGGGATGCTTTGGGATGCCGTGACGTGGTGCCTGATTCGGGCGGTCGCCGGCCGCCTCCGAGAGCCTATCGGGAGGCGGGGACTGGTTTGGGGAGCGAACGGATTCCTTTGGCTCTGCCCCTTCCTCCTCTCCACCCCCTTTCTTTATGTCATCCTGCCAGCTGGGGCGCGCCGTCCAGTTTGGCTTGCTCAGGGTTGGTTCTGAGCTCAGAGGACGATGGGAAATAGGGGGAAGGGGGCTCCACTTGAGGCTAAGAGTTGGAGTTAGCAGCCCAGAGCCTGGAACGCAGTAGAAGAGTTATATCGGTTTAGTGTTTGACTCCTAAGCTGGCTCATTCATTCATTCACCCTCCTCTCGTGCTAACAATCCATTTATCAATTTAACAGATGTTTAAGGAAGGTCTACTGTGTGCTCAGCCAGTAATGTGTGAACTACCGTTCTGTGTCCTATTGTCCTCCAGACTGGGGAATTCTCAGTGCGAAATTCCAGGCATCTAAACTTTGGGTAACTTGTGGATTCATGACTATTTTACTGCCAAAACTTGAGAAGAGTTCTTTATTAAGTTCCATTTACCCAAATAACATGCTCTACCCTTTGCTTATTTTATCTCATAACTTATTATTAAGGAAACTGAACACTGGTCCAAGGTTGCACAGGTGGTAGAATCTATTTGGCAAGTTCTATGCCAGCCACTATGAAAGAACTTGATATGCCCTGTTTTCTATACTAACAACAAACCGGGTGGGATTACTTTTTTTTTTTTTTTCCATAAACGTGTACAAATAGGGTTCAGACAGGCCAATTCACCAGGATAAAACAACTAATTATGTTGTAAAGCTGGAACTGGAACCAAGTGTTTGACTCTAAAACCCGTGGTTTTCAACTGTTAATCTGAGCTGGATCCGTGTGCTCTCAAATGGTGGTTTGATTATTTGTCAGAAACTGGCAAGCATGGTGATGAAAGAAGGTTGTGAGGTAGTATCTTTTTCAGTTTTACTTCATAGCCTGTGGATGGAGCTCCAAGTGAGTGGCCTTTTGCATATACTTTGGTAATTTGATTTGTTTTTCTTCTGATAGGGAGGACAAGCTCTTTGGGGCTACCAAACAGAAGCAGCAATGCCTGTTGTGTGGCCAACCCTTCTGGATCTCAGCAGGGATGAATGCAAACGAATTCTTCGAAAATTGGGTATGAATTTTGTTGTTTTTGTTCTGAGCAGGGTCTCACTGTCTAGTGCAGACTGTCTTCAAAATGGCTTTCTCCTCCCTCAGCTTCCCAAGTGCCAGTACCACAGCTGTGCTCTGACATGACTACTTAATGGTTTTATTTTTGTTATTTTATATTTTTCTGTAACCCTTTTCTTTTTCTGTGTGGGTCATGGCTGTTGGTAGCATGGTCCTCAGCTTTCTCACCGTTTTCCCAGGGCCTAGAATGATTTGTAAGTGAGATACAGGAATTATGATGCAAGGAGCTATGATAAATGGGAAGCCTGGCCATTGTGTGTTCTTTTTTAAAAAATTAATTTATTTTTATTTTATTTGCATTTGTGTTTTGCCTTCATGAATGTCTGTGTGAGGGTGTCAGATCTTTGAGTTACAGACAGCTGTGAGCTGCCATGTGGTTCCTGGGAATTGAACCCAGGTCCTCTGGAGGAGCAGTCATGCTCTTAACCACTGAGCCATCTCTCCAGCCCCCGTTGTGTATTATTAAAGTCAGCATCTCACATAATATTCACGCCCCAATAGATCTTCATTTTGTTTGGGTCCCCGTTTTACATATGAAGTTGAAACCTAAGGTAATGCTCATAGTAAGTTATGTAGTCAGTATTTGACTATAGGCCAGTGGTTCTCAACCTTACTACTGCTGTGACCCTTTAATACAGTTCCCCATGTCATGGTGACCCCCCCAACCATAAAATTATTTTTGTTGCTACTTCATAACTGTATTTTTGCTACTGTTATGAATCGTAATGTGAATATGATTCTGTGTTTTCCAGTGATCTTAGGCAACCCCTGTGAAAGGGTTGTTTGACCCCAAAAGGGATGGAGACCCACAAGTTGAGAGATACTGCTCTAGGCAATATTTTTGTTTTTTTGTTTTTGTTTTTGGTCTCATATTAGCACACTACTAACTTTAATAGATGTGTATGTGTGAGTCATACCTTTTCTGGATTCTAAGTTTATGCAAGCTGCCTATTTTCCCAATTAATTATTGTAATTGACAAAACACACTTTATGCTTAAAGTTGATTATTTAATGTTTTTCTTTTTCCATTTATAGCAGCATTTAGGGAGAGAAGCAAGCCCTAAGGCTAAGGCATGTGTTTTGTATAGTGAACTAACTTTTTCCTGATGTGTGAAAAATGGTATTGGTCACATGCCATTCTTGGGAATATTGAGAAAAAAAGAGTTACTCTAATCATTTGAATCATTGGTTTAAAATGAAAATCCATGAAAAATGCTGTTTTAGACTATAAGGGCCTTGTCTTATTTACCACCACTGTAGCCTGAGGCTAGTGCACTAAGTGAAATAAGTGACTATTAATTAAATAAAAAGCCTATCATTGTGATTGACATCTGAGAATATAGTGTTTAAGCAGCTACTTTCAGACAGATTTGTAGGTCACTGAAGTTTTCCATCAGAGGAAATCTTTGTTGTGATTTCTATGTGTAGCTCAGATAAAGTTGTATCTACTGTGGACCTAGTGCTAATAATGTCTGCCTTTTTTTTTTTCCTTTCCCCTTCCCCCCCAGAGGGTTTCAAACTACTTAACCTTGTTTTAGAAGTTTGAAGAGGGTTCTTTTTTGGGGGGTGGGGGCAATCTTTTAAACTTATATGTAAACTTTTATCACTATTTTAAAGGTACTTGGCTATAGACACGCACTAATGTAACTTGCTGTTGGTTATAAATTAAACTCCATTTCTTTCTTTTTTTTTTTTTTTTTTTGGTTTTTCAAGACAGGGTTTCTCTGTGTAGTTTTGCTACCCTTCTTGGATCTCGCTCTGTAGACCAGGCTGGCCTCGAACTCACAGAGATCCACCTGGCTCTGCCTCCCAAGTGCTGGGATAAAAGGTGTGTGCCACCACCACCACCTGGCTGAACTCTATTTCTTTCAGAATTAAAAACTTGCTAGATGAACAGATCACAAGGACAGTAAAATTGGACTGAAGTTTCTGGGTTTTAAGGGCCTTGAATTTCTGGGAAATCCATGTTCTTCTGGCATCAGGCACACACATGGTACATAGACAGACATATATACATATAAGCAAAATATTCATACAGATTTAAAAAAAAAGAAATTGGGCTAGACATTTATGATACATTCATGGCACCAGTAGCAGTAAATGCTTGCTACTTTTTGACAGCCTCTCTTTCGCCTTATTTTTGTAACTCTTGAGTTGTAACTTAACTGACTTGGGAGCTTTATGACTAAAGTATAATTGAGTGACATAATGGTTTAAATGGACCTGGTTTAGGGTTTTATAAAAGTAGGGTGACACATCTTTTGTTTGTGAGGCATTCACATGTATTTATTATTTCCTTTTTTTTTTTTTTTTTTGTTTTTTGAGACAGGTTCTCACTATATACCTCTGGCTGTCCTGGAAATCTCTCTGTAGATAGGCTGGCCTTGAACTCAGAACCTGCCTCTGCCTCCCAAGTGCTGGGAATAGAGGTATGCACCTCTATTGCCCAGCTTCATTATATTTTTTTGCTACTGGAATTAGCCCTATAATAAAATAGCACCGGAAACTAAACCAAGTTTAAGATATCTCAGGATCCCTATAAACATGCTTGTCAACAAATATGAAAGAAGCTTGGAAGTTAGTAAAGGTTCTAATGGTGACTGAACTACTTACAGGGATGCTGGGAATTGTGTAGCTGAGGTAATGTTTTCAGAGTCACAGTTCTGTGTGTTGGATATTTCCACCTCCCAATTTTGTGCATGACTTTTTAGTTTACCTTCAAATGAAACTTGTAATGTCAGAAATTTTGTCATATTAAAATATTTTATTGCATTTTTAGCCAGGTATGGCATCTCCTTTTAGTGCTAGCACTCAAGAGGCAGAGGCAGGTGGTTTTCTGAGTTCAAGGCTAGCCTAGTCTACATAGTGATTTCCAGGTCAGCCAGGGCTACTTGGTAAGATCCTGTCTAAAAAGAAAAAATTATATATTACATTTTAAATAAATTTTGTTTTTATTTTACTTGTGTGTGTGTGTGCATGAAAGATCTTGCATATATGCTCTGGGGTATGTGTGGAGGTCAGGCTACAGCTTTCAGGAATCAAATTTTCTCCTTCCACTATGTGGGTCCCGGGGATTGAACTCAGGTCGTCAGGCTTATTAGCAAGTTCATTTACCTACTAGGACATCTTGCCAGCTCTATTTCTTCAGTTAATTATGTTTTCTTTGAAACAGTGTGTTTTTAAATAAGGCACGGCTGCACATGCCTGTAATCTGGGCACTCAGGAGGTGGAGGCAAAAGGATCAGGATTTAAAGCTAGTCTGAGCTACACATGCAAGACTGTCTCAAAAACAAACAATAAAACCTGAAATGGAAATGGTGTTTTTGTCTTTTTTCTTCCTCTGGTCTGTTTCTTTTTAATGGCATTGTTATTGTCTTAAATATTTTGCAAAATCTAAAATATTTCCCATTTTCTTCTGTCATTTCTATAATCAGTTACTGAGTTCTATCAAATAACTCTTTAAGTTGGGATTAAAGGATTTGCTTAGTCTAACCACAGATGACTTCTGTCTCCCTTTTTCTCTGTTTTCTGACATGTGTGAGGTAAAACCTTCATGACAGTTTGTCTGTTTATTTATCAGTCATGTACCTAACACACACATACCCTTTTTAGACTTTGATCTAATCATCTTGAGGATAGGGACTTTGTTTTATACCTACAAATTTTTAAATATTTTCCCTAGTACTCTCTCTTACAATATTCTTTTAGTAATTTGGTTTGAATTAGTGACTGTTCAACTACAGACAAGTTCACTTCCTTTAATGTAAAACTTTTAAAAGTAGTTATTGTTACTGGAGTTTACTGAAGTAACGTGAAGCATTTCCAGCGCTTTTGCTCTCTATTCCTTTCATAGAAGTTCGTCCTCCGACTCTCCACAGGGACAGGTCTCTTCCTGAGGAGAACTTGCATTTTCCAACCAGATGACGTGTTTTTTCCTGTGCCTTTACCATTGTGTGCAAACTGTTGTGATTGCCTGGTGACTTTTTTGACCTGTTCATATTTTATAGTTAAAAGACTTGAGGGCAGGACTTGACACTCTTCAGTGTGTATGTATTAGGACTCAACATTGATTTGTTGAATAGAACAGTCTATGAATATTTTAATGGGGCATAAACATTTAATATAGTGAATTTTCAGCTGGTTATTCCTTTTTTGTGATTTCTTTCAGCTCTGCTCAGAGCTGAAATGTATTTCTTGGAACTTAATATTTGCTTTTTGCCTTTGGAGAAGCAGAGCTTTGTCTTTTGACAGACACTCCATGCGGTGTCTACATAATATGCAGTATATACTCAACATGCAGGACGCTCACACTCAGGGTATTTCCGTGGAACTAGACATTTCTGCTTCATTTACTCAGCCCATTCCTCTATATAAGGCTTCCTTTAAAAAAAGATTTTTATTTTGTATGTATGGATGTTTTGCCTGCATATATGTTTGTGCACCATGTGTGTGCATGGTGACTGGGGAAGCCAGAAGAGGGTGTTGGATTCTAGGGAACTGGAGTTACAGATGGTTCTGAGTCACCATGTGGGTGGTGGTATTTGAACTCATGTCTTCTGGAAGAGCAGCAAATGCTCTTTAACTGTTGAGCTATCTCTTTATCCTCTAATGCTGGCTTTTGACAGAATTGTGAATACTATGAACAGAGTGAAACTGCTGTTTACTTACTGGTTAGTTTTGAGTCTGCAGGCCTGTATCTATCATTAGTTAACCCATATTTACTGCGTTTCTTTTGGGCAGATAGCAAATATTTGTAACAATGTGAGCATGAAGATACTTCTAATTTGGACATTTGTTTCCACCATTCTGGTTTGCTCTGGTGTCTCTGTTTCATAGTGTTAATGGCTAAAAACCCCACTGTTTTACTACTTGTTCAATCCTCTTTTTTGTTGGTGTTGTCTGACCTTTCCTGTAGCCCCAGTCAGAAGCTTAGCAGGGGACTAGGTATAGCTGAAGTGGCTGAGCCTCTCTCTCTTGGTGGCCATTCTTTCTGGGTTTCTTCACAGCTTGTTGAAGTTATGATTCCTAGAGAGCAAGGCTACAAGTACAAGTACTTAGCAAGTATCTGCATCCTATTTGCTGATATACCATTAGCCAAAAGTAGCACAGAACCTAGACTTGATGTGGGAAGACTACACAGAGATTACAGATCACACTGGTAGTGAGAGGCCTGCATGTTTTGCTGGGAGGGCTTGAAGACTTTTGATTTGTATGTATACTTTGGCTTTTTTGTTCTGTGTTGTTGTTGTTTTTTTGTTTGAGACAGGGTCTAGTTTGGCCTAAGTTAGCTTCTCAAACTTACGATCTTCCCACTTCACCTTCTGAGTACTGGGACTACAGGCATGTGTTACCATGTCTGACTTGTGTGTTTGTATCTTTGTGTGTACATGTGCATGTGTGCATATTTATATTTTTCTGCACATGCATGTGGAAAACAGAACAACCTCAAATGTTGTTCCTCAGGCATCATCCACCTAATTCTTTTTTTTTTTTTTTAATTAAAAAAGTTTTTTTTTAAGTAAGGTCTTTCACTTAGAATTTGTTCAGTAGGCTAGGCTGGCTTAATGGCCTGCAAGCCTGGGGAATCCTCCTATCTCTGCCTCCCTCAACACTGGGATGACAACTATGTATTACCATATCTGCTTTTCATTTTCTTTTCTCTTTTTCTTTCCTTTTTTTCTTTTTTTTTTTTTTTGTTTTTCGAGACAGGGTTTCTCTGTGTAGCTTTGCGCCTTTCCTGGAACTCACTTGGTAGCCCAGGCTGGCCTCGAACTCACAGAGATCCGCCTGGCTCTGCCTCCCGAGTGCTGGGATTAAAGGCGTGCGCCACCACAGCCTGGCCTTTTTTTCTTTTTTAAAGTGGGTTTTGGGGATTAAACTCGAGTGCCAATACATCTATCCCAAGCATGAGTCATCTCTCTTGCTTGTATTTCTTTGAATTAGTGTCTTGCTAATATCTTAGGCTGTCTTTGAACTCTCCATTTCTCTGCCTCAGCCTTGTGAGTGCTGGAATTATAGGCATGTACCACTGTACCCAGACTAATTAGTCATTTTGATGGTAGGTTTTATGTTTTAATTGCTTGGATGATAGTTTTTGTAGATGTAAAGATCTTAGTTTAAAGGTGTGGCCACCATACCTGGCTGGGTTACCTGTTCTTTAGATTTTCTTTTCTAAGCATTTTATACCCTTGACTTCTGTGAGACATTGTATAAGAAAACCATATAAATGATGAAAGTGACACTTAAATGTAGGTAGTTTTCCTGCCTGGCCCACAGTCAGGACAAATCTCTGTCACCCACCAGTCCCACGGCCTCTCAGACCTGACCAAGTAAACACAGAGACTTATATTGGTTACAAACTGTATGGCCGTGGCAGGCTTCTTGCTAACTGTTCTTACTGTTCTTAAAGCTTAAATTAATCCATTTCTATAAATCTATACCTTGCCATGTGGCTCGTCGCTTACCGGCATCTTCACATGCTGTTTCTCATCCTGGCGGCTGGCAGTGTCTCTGCGTCTCAGCCTTCCACTTCCCAGCTTTATTCTCCTCCTTGTCCCGCCTACACTTCCTGCCTAGCCAATGGCCAATCAGTGTTTTATTTATTGCTAATCAGCAACACATTTGCTATACAGAACATCCCACAGCACTTAAATCTTTTTATTTGATAACATTTTTGAAAGGAATTTAAAATTTTGCATTTGGTTTATTTTTAGATTTCTTGCCCTAAAGTTTAATATTGCATGGCCACATTATTCAAAATTGAAGTCTTATCTTGATAAAATAATTTTCTTTTTCTAGAATTGGAGGCATATGCTGGAGTTATCAGTGCACTTCGTGCACAGGGCGATCTCACCAAGGAAAAGAAAGATCTTCTTGGAGAACTCTCAAAAGTCCTTAGGTAATTTGTCATGAAAGTTTTGGTGATGTGAATAAAAAAAATTGCATTTTATGGGGGTTTATTTATTTTCATTCTCAAATTAAAGGACAGAGGTGTTCAGTTTGCTGGGTGCTTAGAGGCCCTGTTCCAGTTGTGTGCTTTCTGCTATAGAAGATGGGGTCACTTAGTCTCTGTCGTATAAGCCAATCAAAGGGTTTAAGGTGGGTATTTTTGGGCACCTGGAGTGGGAGGTCCTTTGGCAGAGGCGCAAGAAAGAAGAGCTTGTGCAACTGAATTTCAGGATGTAGAGTGGCATTTGTTAGAGGGAAAAGAGGAATGTAAGCCAGATCCTCAACATGTGAGTGGGTGCTGGTGATAAAGTCGTTGCCTTAAATCTAGTTGACTCCTTTTCCTGAGCTAGAGTGCCACTTCAATCCATTGGACAGGTCTAGTGAAAGGATTTCTTGGCGCTTTGTCTTGATTCATTTTCATATCTTGTGCTTTCTCTGTTTTAATTCGTTTACTTTCTACATTTAAAGTCATTTTGTTCTATTTTTAGAAGTGAAAACATGGAGAGTCTCTTACTGTTTAATTAACATTAATATAGGAATGTAATTAAGCAGATTCTCAGTCATATGTTTTTGTTTATGTTTCCTCATAAATTCTGCTTTTAGTCCTTAAGTGTTGTGGTTTATGCTATAAATTTAGTGTTAAGTGCTAAAGAATACAAGAAGAGTGGTATTCACTGTATTGGGTATTTATGAATATAATGAATGTAATCTTTAAAAATGGTTTCATTTATCAGTGTTGAATATATGCACAGTCTTACTATTGGTAACATAATGTAGAAGGCACCTAGCTGAAGTTGAGTCACGTTTCATTGCATGTACTCTAAAGAAACACGTTATTTTGCCACTCTTACTGCTTTTATTATATTCATTGAATATAGAATTATTAGACTTGTAAGCTTTAGAAAAGACTTTAGAAGACTTTCTTCTAAGTGCCCAGTCCTCCTGCCAGCAGTCATGAGATAAGGAGGTCCTTGAGCACCATGTCTAGTTAACAGGAAGCACTGCTAGTCTTACCATGGCCTGCTGTTTCACAGATGGGAAAATTTGCATATCAGCTGAGTTTGTCTTCCTGAAATTTTCAGATAAATAATCCTCAGTTACACAGAATCAGTATGAAACCTTTCCTGTGATTTTGAAACATTTTAAGATACACATTAGACAAAGTAATCCTCAGCCTCCAAAAGATGTTGACTTAAACATTAATAAAAGTGTAGAGAAGAGCTGCCTGCTTGGCAGAGTTCTATAATGGCTATTTTTTTTCATAGCATCTCAACAGAACGCCACCGTGCTGAAGTTCGGAGAGCAGTAAACGATGAACGGTTAACAACAATTGCACATAAGTAAGCCATTAGTCTACCACCCCTGATTTTTTTAAATGATGTAGTATAAAGTAGTTTTGAGACAGTCTTCCTTTTGTGTGGCAGGTCCCTGAGTCTTTTATCATAATAGTATCTCTATACTCAGAAACCCTGCCTATAGTGATTACTGTTTACTCCATTGATTACTTTTTGTTTTTGTTTTGCGTTTTGTTAGGGAAGCTTAAAGTACTTAGGTCAAATCCTATTACAAGGTAATCTCTGTATAATCTAAGGCCACTGGAAGCCGAGCTCAATACCAAGTAGCATGCCTCCTGACATTCAAAGGTGCCCGGAGGTTTCTTGTAATGGTACTTGATATGTGTGATGCTTTATAAACAGGCATTACCATTTTTATATGGCTCTAATTTCAGATATTTTGAGATTCAAAAAAAATTATAAAATATATGTTCTTTTAAGAGATATAAATACAACTTAATTATATATTTTAAAAAACAAACAATAAAATTATAAAGGTTTCTTATTAATTTGTTTTCAGATCGTCATAACTGACAGATTGGGTAGAGGGTGGCAGAGGACTGAGCAGAATCAACCATTAGTTACAGAGAGATAGTGCCTCCTGAAGAACAGAAAGTAATCCTTTCAGTGATAATAGAAATATTTCATAAAATGTTAAAGTGTAATCCATTTGTTTTAATTTTTATGTTTTAATATGACGTAAAACTAAAGAAGAAAGAACTTAGTGCGTTACCATAAGGTGATGACATAAGGCATTTGGCAGAATTTGAATTGATTACACAGCTCTGTTGGCTTCTTGTACTTCACTGTCCCTCATTTTACTTAACACATAGAATGGGGTACTCACCTCTTTAACAGTGTAGTTTGAATGTTTTGCTGTTTGTTCTGTAAGTCTGAGATTTCTTTCGTGGTAGGTATGCATTGTAGAAATTTAGACATTCTCTATAGAGACAGCTCGTGTTTAGTTGTCAGGCTAACATAGTTGAAACACTCAAATTTAATGTGTCCCTTTTTGAATTTGCTTCAGACTTTTGAATTGGAATGATTTAAACTGGGTCTGAATTCTAATTTGGGAACTGGTAATAGGAAATTGTGCTAGATAATCAAGTAGCAATGAATACCTTAGATGCATTCAAATGGGATTGTGGGCAATGAGTTGTAAGTTGATGCATCAGTGTCATTCTTAAAGGATAACATTTATTTAGTCTCCTTTTCCTTTTTTCCCCTTTTAAGAATGAATTTATCCTTATATTTGGGTGAAAGACCAAGTTACAGGTATGCAAATAGGTTATTATTATTTCAGGCTTTTTCTTGTATTTATTTCCAAAATGACGCTCTCAATTATTCAGGGGCACATACTCCATTTATGAATTAACCATGCCCCTTGCTTCTCCTTCTTTTCCCTCCTCACCTTCCTAATACTGCCCGACCTTTAGCCATTTTTGCTGCTTGGGAATATCTCTAGTCAGAGGGTGGGAAGGGAGAGGAGGTGAAAATTTTTATAACTCATTTTCCTACTTGTTAGTTGGCCTGAAAAATAATTGGTGCAAGAATTTACTGGTATTTGCTAAAATAACTTTTGGATAATATGTGGATTTCTTTAACCTGTTTGACCTCTCCCTTTCCTTCCTCTCTCTATTAGCATGGATAATTGAGAGTTGGCTTCTTTCCACCTTTGTTTCTCCGCCCCTCCCTTTCTTTCTGATTTCTTTAATATATGAATTTCGTTTTTGGAAAAGTTTACTTTAGTATATAATTAAAAAAAACCTTCTTAGGTCTTTCTGTGTTTTATATTGTGGTTTTAGTTTGACTAGATACTGCATTTACTTGTTGAGTCTAAGAGTCAGGGAATGAGGATTGTTAGTAACACTTGCTATTGGATATAGCAATGGAGACCCAAAGATGACCTGTAAATACAGCTAGAGGAATGCATCTGAGCTGACTGCATTCCCTACTCCTCCTCCCTCCCTCTCCCACTTGAAATTGCTGTGTAGCCCCGAAGGAATGTACTTGAAAGGTGATGAGAAGCTCAGAAGATTTAGCAGGAAAGGAGGGGAACAGAAGGAATAAGGGTCCTGGATGCAAGAGAAACCGCACTAAAGGCCTTCTGCTTCATGGCTTGACTGGGATGGTGTTTGTCCTTTGATAGCATAATTGAGTTCTTAGGTACAATAATATTAATGCTTCACATGGTTTGCTTAGGCCACTCTTTGTCTCTACAATTAGATTAAAATGATAGTTTGGAATATCAGATCTCTGTGCTTCTGCCAACTATCAGACATTCCCAAGATACTGTGTTTCTGTGTGACGATGCAGCTTTCTTAACTGCTGCCAACTGTAGCTCATTAGTAGGTGGCTTTCTCAGAGCAGGATTTGTACCTTCCTTGTGGTCCTTGGATGAGTAGAGAGGCAGGCAAGTGTACAAACTTAGGGGACCTGTGTGAACCCTCAGGTACAATGTTTAATTTCTAAATTCTCTTAGATGACTTGTGCAGCTAACACATATTTACAACCTTATCACTAAGCAAATAGAAACTTTTGACCTAATTCTAACATGTTATTTCATTTCTCATTCACTTACTATTTGAGCATGCTTGCATGAGTGGACATTTGGAAGACTTAGAGTTCTTTATAAAAGTTGCAGTTGTTGTCTTTTTGCACTGCAAGCTTTGTCTTTTCCATAGCATATGTCCATGTGCTTCATATTCTTAATCTTCCATAAATTCTGCCACCATTTAAACAATACACAAGGTAAGTGTAGAAGGCACTTTATTTGTGTGGTAAACTCACATTAAACAAGTTTATTAGTGATAGTCTAATAAAATGATATCAGAATAGAAGTGCTATTACAGAAAGTGCTAGCTTTGGGAAAGTTTACATTTAACAACCAGTAATAATGCTTTTCTATCTTTTTCTTGTTTGTATTATTCTTTGTTTCTGAACTAGTGTTAACATAGATCTTATGTAATATATTTGTGAGGTTGTTGGGGCCTCAGGAAGTCCACCATTCCTTATCTTATGTAGGACTGCTTTAAATTGCAAAAGAATTTAGTATAGTTTTCACAGTAACCTAACTGGATTTGCCAGCTTCTATAAATTCTTCAACTTAATCCTTTTCTCCATTCGTTTCTTCCTTCATTCGTTCCTTCGTTCCTTCCTGTTTTGAGATAATGTTTTATTTTGTTTCCTTCCGGTGTTTTGAGACAGGATCTCATTATGTAGCCTTGGCTGGCCTGGACTTGATTAAGTAAACCAGGCTAACCTTGAACTCAGTTTACTTGCTTTTGCCAAGGGAGTGCTGGGATTAAAGGCTACAGGCATGTGTCGTCACGTCTGTTTTAAATACCTTTTAAGTTGTAATTTATTCCCTGCAGCAAAAGTTGGCAGTAATTAGACAATAATTGCTCAATTGGTATAAAGAAAAAGCTGCTCATAAAGCCCACTAGAAAACTTTTATTCTTTGTGTTTAGAATAGGACAGATAATTATGGAAGCATGATATATACTTGTTGAAGGAGACATTTATTAGTTTTGTAGCCTTAGGCAAGTTATTTAGCCTCTCTGTGATTCAGTTTCTCATTCTAGAAAATGGAGATGCTAATATTATCAGCTTCATTGGATTGTTGAGAGAACTGAGTTAACACACATTTTCAGACATGTAGAGCAGTGCCTGATATGTAGCATGCCCTTAGTTGAGTTTAACGACACCATCACTGTGAACATCACCGTCATCACCGTTATGGATGGCATTATTCCACTGCCCACTGAACAAAAGCTTTGGGTTACTTTGCTTGGATCTGAAGAATCATTGGATATAGAGTCTTGTTTAGGCTAGACTGTAGAATCTGTGGTTTCACAAAACTTGAAGAAATATTTCTGATTTAGTGAAGAAAATTAGTTGTTTCTAGATTAATTTTAAACCTTGACACTAATCATTAGGGTGTTTCATGAAGCCAAATGAGAGAGATGGCAGCTGCCTTTTGCTATTTTAACCTCTGGTCCAGTTTCTGGAACAAAACTTACTCAAGAAGTTTAAAGCAGAGAGACTTAAAAATGTTTTAGAGAGAGAAGGTCCAGTTGCCTCAGTGCCTTCTAGAGTACAGGGCACACCATACAAATAAAGTAAAAGGATGGTGGATTTCTTTTAGTGTCCGCAGTTCTGCTTTTTTATTTTGTATTATTTTTTTAAACAGGAAGGGTAATAATATAAAAATACAGTGCATATTATTAGCGACACCTGCTGTTGTATACACTGCTTTCCATCTTACTAACTCCTCTCGTTTACTGCCTCAGTTTTCCATGTTTGAAAGCCTTTAGAATCTCTGGCCATGCAGGCAGTTAGAAAATTTTGCAAAGATTCATTGGGCTTCACCTTTAACTGTAAAGGAAAGTCTGATTCTTAACACTGTCAGCGCTTTTACTTTCTTGGTGTAATTATAAAATTAAGTTCTAAAAGTTAATTTTATTAGTAGAAATACTTGTTTTCATTTGTGAAACCCAATTTCACAAATTTTCACAAAAATAATACCCATTTTATTTTCAAAGCATAGAAAAAAAATTTCAGTTGTAGTTACTCAGATTACAGAATAAAGTGTGTAAGAACCTCAGTGTGTGGCATTTCTTGATTTTAATTGTACCTAAGTTTGATCTTGCTTGCTTAAAATGAAGCCTCTCCAGAATCCAGGGTCCTTTTTGTCATTTAAAAAGTTATGTTTGTTGGACTCATTTTTAGCAAGTGCAAGCCCTTGTAGCAGCATTTTCTCTTTTGTTTAGTATGTCTGGACCTAATAGCTCTTCAGAATGGTCCATTGAAGGGCGTCGATTGGTACCACTGATGCCCCGGCTGGTTCCCCAGACTGCCTTCACCGTAACAGCAAATGCTGTGGCCAACGCAGCTGTCCAGCACAATGCATCCCTTCCCGTGCCTGCAGAGACAGCAAGCAAAGAAGGTGAGTAGGAATGCTGCTGTTAGAGATAATTCTTCTCAGGACTTTTCATCTATTTTTAGTAAGTGCTTAAAAATGATGAGATTGGTATGTTTTTCATTCTGAAACTAGAAACTGCCAGGTTTTCAGTCTCCATCCAATCAGATTTCTTTACTTCAAAGGGAAAATTATGTTAATCACTGAAAAAGTTTTCTCAGATGGAATTTCTGACATTTGTTTTATTTTGTTTGCTTTGGTTTGGTTTTCAGACCAAACCAAACGTTATAGCCCGGGCTGGACCCAGGTTGAGGTAGTCCTTTCATCTTAGCCTCCCTACTGCTGAGGTTACAAACACGAGCTACCATGCCTTGTGAGTGTCTCTTGTTCAAGGTGAGTGGAAGGACTTAGTGAATGGCATTAGAGAATAAACAAGATGACAGAAATACTTGCTGGATAAAAGATGCTGAACTGATGGCTCCAGGAAATAAAACTGTTTTGTTTCTTCAAATCAATGGTACATGTAGCCTCTCTGTTCCAGTCAATGAGTACTTTCTTACTGTCACTTAATCTAGTAATTGACATGCTTTAAACAATCTTGAAATTCTCTTACCAAGGTGATATAAAATTTGAGAGTATGCTCGGATCAAAAGCAACTCTAAAGACAATGTGTTTGCCCGATTACTTTGAGAAATTGCTTTGTCTTTTCTAGTGGTGGGCTTTGCATAGAGTGAAACAGTTTTCACTCTTGGCTGGGCTTGGCTCTGCCAAAGAAAGCTATGTTTTTTCAGGGAAGAAATTATCTGTGCAAACTTAGCCTCTACTGGGTTCCTGTTTCCTTCATTGTTGGCAGTTATATTTCCTCTCTTCCCACTTTGACCTTTTCCTTTTGCTAGCTGGTAGAATGGGAAGAGAGTTGGATTTCTAATAATAGGTGTTTGGATCTAAGTTTGTCATTTCCTAGCATTTTCTTTAGCAAGTCTTACTGTCTGTAAACTATGGACTCTTCATCTTTAAGGGGAGTGTAGTGTGAGAGTTGGTGATGGTGGAAAAGATTGAGTGTAGTATCTGGCACTCAGTACAGGGTAACTCCAGGCTGTTCTTAGTGTTCCTGAGTTGTGTCCTTTCATTGAAAGATAAAGAGGTTGAAATTTGATGTCACCATTATTTTAGTTAGTGTTGTCCCACTTGGTTGGCAAATGACAGAAGAGTTAGTTTGTTTCTCCAGTAAGTGCTTTGGAAATTGCTATGGTTAGGGGAAAGTTAATATTGTTGGTGCTGCTATTGGTATTAAAGAGTACTTCAGGTTTGTGCCTGTTGTCCAGTTCTTGCCTTATGAGAAATGTTTTTTCTTTTTTTCAAAATAGTTTTAAACTTGATTGCTTTGTACCTCCATTCTTCTCCATTCACTGTTACCTGTTGCTAAGCTGGTAAATACTTGGGAAGACCCATTAAGTGATTTTCAAAATAGTTTCTAACCCTTGAGTCTAGTATCTTGTGCTAGCATCTAGCTTCCGATCACATGAAAATGATAAAGTTGGCCTGCAATAAAAGTAATTGTATGTCTGGACAGCTGCGGTGAAAGTTAACAGCAAACTTTTTTTTTTTTTTATATCATTCCTTCAGTAGTGGTTTGCTATTCCTACACAAGTACCACGTCAACCCCAACCTCTACCCCTGTTCCAAGTGGCAGCGTAGCAACGGTTAAGTCTCCAAGACCTGCCAGTCCTGCCTCCAGTGTAGTTGTCTTGCCAAGTGGAAGTACTGTTTATGTCAAAAGTAAGTGATGTCTCAGTGTTACCAGGCCCTCTGGACAAAATGCTACACTCTGAGCTTTGATTAGATCTGCTTTTCTGGAATCAGTCATCGGGCCACAAGCTGTTTTCAGTGGTTAGCTTTAGGTTCTGAAGACTTCTTATCTGTCTATCTGACTAGGTATTTGCTCTTTCGTCAGTTCTGGGTTTGAGAAATGCCATCATGTTTTGCTCTGTGGGAAATCTGCCTTTGCATAGTGCTGTCCTTTAGGTATTCACATCTTTTGATTCCTATGGAACTGTGCTTATATGACTAGTCAATGTTTTCCCAGAATTCCAGTCTTTGCAGTGTTTTCTTGAATTATTCCATGTATCATCCAGTTCTTACATTCAGTAACTCATTCTAGAGGCTCCCTTTTATGTTTCTACTTGATATAGTCTTTAAAAAAGTTTTTTATTTGCAGTTTTAAACTCCCAATTCTACTCCGCTCTAAATAATAGTCTTTTCTGAGACAGAATCTCACTGTGTAGCCCGGGCTAGCCTCACACTTGTGATCCTTCAGCTTCAGCCTCTCAAGTGCTGGGGTCGCTGCTGTGCTCCCATACCTGGCTCTACAAAACAGTTTGATGCCCAGGTTTTCTTGCATCAATGTCTCTTAATTTTATTTCAAAAATTGTTTTGTATTTTGTTTGCTTTGCTTTTTATTACTAGTATTTGATTTTAATTGGTCTCAATATAGTAATAAACTTGATTTTCCTATAGATTTTAGAGGTGACATTTGTTTTTTTTAGGCTTCTAGGTCATTGCCAGTCCTGTATAGTGTGGTGATACATTGTGTACTCTAATAAACTTGCCTGAGGATCAGACGACAGAGCCAGCCACAAGATTAGACATAGAGGTCAGGCAGTGGTGGCACACACCTTTAATCCTATCATTCAGGGGGCAGAAATCCATTTGGATCTCTGAGTTCAAGGCTACACTGGGCTACGTGAGATTGACCCAGTATAGGAGAGAAAACAGAGCCAGGCGGTGGTGGCACACACCTTTAATCCCAGCACTTGAGATCTCATGCTTTTGCTTGGGAAGCACACATGCCTATAATCCCAGGAAGTAATATGACAGGGCAGAGAAGGGTAGATAAGGCTTGAGGAAACAGAGACTCACTCCCTTTGGGCTGAGGATTTTGTAGAGGAAAGAACTAGTGACTGGCTGCTCTGCTTCTCTGATCTTTCAGCTTTCACCCTGATATCTGGCTCTGAGTTTTTTATTAAAAGACCATCTAAGATTCGAACAACAGTATAGAGTCTAAAAATTGAAGCTCTAAAGACTTATATTTTATTTCCAATTCCGTGGGTCATGCTATATAATTCTTATGTATGCTCTGTAGAAATTTCCTATGTACATTGCTTTATATATTTGTCAGATGAATTTTATAAAATCTACAAAAGAATTGAGGTTTTTAGGCTATAAAAATGCCAAGAATCATGAACCGTTAAGTTCATCTCAGGTTTCTGTAGATTTAACCAATGTGGTCTTTAGGAATGACTCTCCGGGACTGATTTTTAAAACCACTTTTAAAACTACTCTTAATGAATCTCAAACATGAAGAAACTATTTCACAAACTAATGCACTTTCAAATTACAAGAACTATATCATTAGTAGTTTTTATTATTCATTCACCAACTTTATGCAAGTCACTAACCCAAGGGAGACAAAACAGACTTTGTCCTTCTTGTCTGAGAGCTCATTAATATGGGAGATGTGTAGACAGTTATATTGTCATGTGCTAAGTGGTTCAGAACAGGATGTACAAAGTACTTTATGTCCTTCTGCCCAGAGAGAGGTGGATTAGCTCTGCATTGAGGAAGGGGAGGCTTCACTGAGAAGGTGGCTTACTGGATGATGATTGCAGGATGAAGAAGGGGTCTGTGAGGCTGGTGATGTTCTTCAAAGAAAAATACAATGTACAGACTCAGATAAGAGGGTGCCGAAGCGTTTTTGGGCAATGGTAAGAAAATTAGTTGGTCAAGATTTTAGAGGAGCACAGAATTAGGGTAATGGTATTTTGTGTCTGAAAAGATAGGGGCCCTTGAATTTTGGTCTGGTAGGTATTTTGGGAGGATAGGGAAATACAGACTTAGGGAATTTTAGGCTGTGCATCTCAGTTATGAAATTTCCTGACTTGCTGTAGCATAGACGAGTATAGAATAGAAGTGGGAAGATGCAGGAGTGTCTTTTAGGAGGGTATTGATAAAATCCAAGCAGGAGACAATCTCTGAATGGAGTGGTAGTTTAAGGAAAAGATGGTGGGTGTTCAGAGAGACAACTTTTCTGAGGGAAATTTGTAGAACTTTAGTGGTAGATTGGGCATAAAAGAAAGGGAGAGGTGGGACTGAAGAGATGGCTCAGTGCTTAAGAGCACTGACTGTTCTTCCAGAGGACCCGGCTTCAATTACCAGTACCCACATTAGCCAGTTCACAACTGTCTGTAACTCCAAGATCTGCCACCCTCACACAGACATACTATGCAGGCAAAACACTAATGTACATAAAATAAAAATAAGTAAAGGGAGAGGCAAAGGATGACACATTTTACAGAATAAAGTATAAGAGGCAATGCTAGTTTTGTGTGAGTAGGAATACTATTCCTGTCTTTCAGGTGTCAGCTGTTCAGATGAAGATGAAAAACCCAGAAAACGCAGGCGAACAAACTCTTCGAGTTCTTCTCCTGTGGTCCTGAAAGAAGTTCCAAAGGCCGTTGTTCCAGTCTCGAAGACCATCACTGTGCCTGTGAGTGGCAGTCCCAAGATGAGCAACATCATGCAGAGCATTGCCAACTCCTTACCACCCCACATGTCACCTGTGAAAATAACTTTCACCAAACCATCAACACAGACGACAAACACAACACAGAAGGTATGTGGTGGAAGGAGTCTCAGTTGTTCTGTCTCTTTCACGTAGTGTGATTTAGAATTGATGGTCATGTACTGAGTGCTTACTGTGCACTTGGCATTATGCTGGGAATGCTCACACCTCTGTTCAATTCTGCACATAAAACATTGGAGATAGGTATTATTATTCACATTTTAAAGATGAGGCTTAGGTGCCAAATGGTTTGCTCAAGGTGACAGTTAGCAGATGTGTTTCTGGACTTTTGTTGTATTTGGTAATTGTAATGCCATTTTGGAACAAACTAGAAAAGTTTTAAAGTCTTTGTTTATGTGGTCTTATGTGTAGGAAGTCAGCTTTTGCTTTGCCAGTAGAGGTAAGTGTTTCTTAGGAAAAAGAAGGGGTATAGGTAAGTGAACAATTGTTATTTTCCTTTTTATTCTTTGTATGCTGTTATGCATTCATTTCTGACCTCAAGTTACTGGTATCCTGTCAATTTCATGTTCTTGCAATCCTAAGTCTTCACATTAGTCTGGATTCTGATGACCTGAGGCTTATTTTACACCTGTGTTTAAACCTGTGTTTCTGGGGTTTCCTTTTTAGCATCTTTCTGTTCTTCCTTTTTTATTAGTTTATTTTGCTAAAGCATGTCCTTTAGTAGCTTCCCAGGGTATTAGTTGCTGAGAAGGTTTTTGAGACCCTGGGTGGACAAAGGAAATTTTTTCCCTGTGAGTTTTTGAAGACATTCTTCACTTCGTTTCCAGCTTCTAGTATTATTTTTGAGATACTCGGTGCCATTATGGTTTTTAGCTTCTAGTTTTGTCTTTGGGAACTCTTTAGAATACTGAAACAGCAAAAACTTCAGGACCCTTAGATTGTGTCGTTAGAGTTTTTATTCTGTCCACTCATGCCTTCAGGTCTCATCAGTTCTTGGGTTCACTCTTTGATGTTTTACATTTCCTTTGTGGATCTCATATGGAGAGTTTGGAACTTTCTGAGTGGATCTTTTCATTTTCCTCATACTATTCATTCCTATTTGCCATGCTCTTCCTACCCTCCAACTGTAGCATAGTGGCTTGGGGTATGGGTTTTGGAACTAGACTTTCTTGATTTTAATTCCAACTTGCCACTAGCTTTTTTTTTTTTTTTTTTTTTTGGTTTTTTCAAGACAGGGTTTCTCTGTGACCACTAGCTTTTTGACTGTGGGGAAACTAAACTTTGTACCCAGATTTTCTCTGTGAAATAGAGGAAAAAAGCCCAGTGTTTCTATAAGATCTTTGGGTATGATACATAATATCTGTAAAGCTGTTAGAAGAGAGCCTAATATGGGTAAATGTGTATTGTCATTTTCTGTACCTCTGATCAGTATCCTATATTACTTGCATGGAATTGTTCACTTTTGTCATCATACTTTATTTTTTTTGGTGAAATGATCTCACTGTTTAGTTCAGTCTGGCCTGCGACTTACTATGTAGCCTTGGATGATCTTGAATGCCTGAGGGCTAAGGATCACAGTCATGCATTAACACACTTGACAACCATCATACTTTAAATTTCTAATAATTCTTCCTTTTTCTGTAGATATTCCTTGTTTTTCTTCTTAAAAATAACATCCTGCTTTTTGGTAGGATGATTGTATTCTTTTATTTGATTATATTCATAAGTCTTTTGGTTTGGTTTTCTTTTTTCATGCTCTTTATCTTACTTGTTAGTTCATTTTATTACTTGATGTTTTTCTTTTCAGAATTTCCTTAAGTGTCTGACAGTCAGCTTACATATGAAAGTGATACATTAACTATCTTGTTCCTCTGCCACTTGTCCTTAGGGTGGTTAGATTCATCAGGCAAGAACCTTCCAGTTTCCTGCTTTGAGTATTATAAACTTGGGTGCAAGTACTTTGGAGTAAATGGTGGAAGGGTGCTGTGGTATCTGAGATAATAAGTGTTTCTGAGTCTTTTCTCATCTCAGGAACAAACAAGAGTAATGCCAAATCAGTAGATTTTTATAAGGGTTACGTGAGATTGAGTATTTAAGATGTGACACAGAGCATGTACCTAGAACATGCAGTGTTTTTGGAAGTCAACATTTTACTAATTTGCTGGTAATAATGAACTGTTCTAAATATATGAATCCACTGATTCACTAAACCTTATCCACTAATCTGTTGAAATTAGCTGTTTTTGATGATTTCAGTGTTTATTGAACATAATGTTTGCATTTTTACTTGATTTCAAGTAAGCATTTCTGAATATCACTTTTTACACGGTGTTGCGGTTATTCCGTGTGTGTGTGTGTGTGTGTGTGTGTGTGCATGTGCGCACGTGCGTGCGTTGGAACCCAGGGTCTTGTATATACTGGACAAGTACTCTACTACTAAGCTGTATCATTCTTAGCTCCTAATTATGCTTTCTGAGCTGGCTTTGACACCAACTGACTATTATATGACTATGCTTCAGGTTATTAAATCTTGCTGTAATGTTTTTGCTGCCTTCGTTGCTGGATCTTATGGCTTTTTTAATCTTTTTTTTCATCTACTTAAAAATGATTTTAGTATTCAAGAAATAGGGTAGGAAAGCCATAACTAAAAGAGTACCTACATCTCTTTCTGTATTCTTTTGTTCCTAGTGTGTGTTTCATTTTTATTCATTGTTTGTTAAGTAGTTGAAGTTATAAATTACAAGTTTATTTTCTATCTCTCCCATAGACTGCTGAGGGTAGCTTAGACCTCTGTTTTATTCATGACTCTATTCCCTAGTATTTAGAACAACGCCTTGGCATATACTAGATGCTAGTTAATATTTGTTGAATGAATAAATGAATTAATAAATGAACATATCGATACACATATAACTAGATCTGACTCTAGTACTCTCTGGTCGTTTTAGGCATGCACTTTCCCACAGAGCTGTGTCATTGGCCCTTTGCTAACTGCTTGAACCTGTTTTCTTTTAAGACAAAAGTAATAATAGTACTTCTTAAGAGTTACCAGGAGAATTCGATGAGATTATTCACTGAAAATAATTATAGTCCATACAATGAGTGTTTATAAATGTAACCTACAATCATTAACTTTCTAAATCTTCTTTGGTAGATTTACATAAAAAAGGTTTGTAACAGATGGGGTTCCCTGTAAGTGGAGTCTGAATGCTTTGTTTTCATTTTCTTTTTCCTTATTGACTCTTGTTTTTATCTTCAGGATTTTGAAGTGAGAATGAATATTTGAGGTTGTTAGACTCATGCTTTTAAGAAGGCACATTTATTTCCAAAGTCATATATAGGCCTTACCATGAATTTTCAGATTCAGAAATTTAGATTGACTTCTGTTTAAAAAAATAAACATTTAAGGCAAATTAAATAAAAAAAAAACTCATTTATTCCACAAATAATTACTGAGCATCTACTATGTTCCAGTTGTAAAACTGTTCTCTTACTTCATTCCTTCTCTGCCATCTATTTTTAAAAATTTTTGGACAACTAGAGTATGGTTAGGACTAATTAATACACTTTCCATGTTTTGTTTTCCGTTTTCTGGGTAATTGGATTTAAAATATATTTTTATCCAAGGCTGTTATCATAATTGTATTTACCTTGGATTTCTCACAATTTGTATTTAAGTCAACTTAGCAATTAATTATTATAGGTAAAGTGACTTTACATAAGTGTAATTGTTTCTGATTTTGTAAACGGTATTCACATTTAAATAGGTTGTGCATTTTCAGCATAGATACATTTCCACGTATGTTAATATGCCTCATTTAAAACAGCATTGATGCAGCACTAATACAAAGAGCAACAGAATATAGCTTTATGCTTTCATGTGCTTGATTGATATTTTTCATTTTGTCCTTAGGGTGCAAGTCCCAGCACTCTTAAGGAGTTTTTGTGAGTGCTAGAAGGTCAGTAATTTGAATTATGGCCTGAATAAACACTGTGTGGTTCACTTGGCTTCAAAACCTTTTAATCTCCCCTGTTGTAATAAGCAACTTTAAAGTGTAAGTGATTTCTCCAGGGTGGAACTCTAGTTTGGGAAGCCTCTTTACAGATCAGAAATCATTTGTGTACTGAAATCTCAAACTATGTTTTATCATTTGTATCTGTAATCTAAAATGTTCTCCTAAAGACCCTAGATTTATTCTTTTCTTAATGTTAGAATCCTGCTTTCATTCTGAAATTTCAAATACTTGAACTGTGCACACTTGCCCTTCCATGCCCAACATTGCTAACTAACTATGGCATACTTTCCTGCCAAGCCTGGTGAATCCTCTTTTGTACCGCAGTCATCAGCATTGTATTTCTTGAAAGCTGTGACTAATGGTTCAGGATTGACAAAAGTGAAACCCAGTTGCCATTAGTTCCCTAATTAGTTTGGATCTGGGAGCTATGAATTCTTTGTATACTCAGGGATATCAGAATTAGACAGGGAAGGAAAGAAAATGTTTCTAATGAAACAAACACAGTATATTCAATATTATTTGTGGATAGAAGTGATCTATAATGCTTTATTCATATCCATCTAACATTAAATAGGAATAGTAAGCTTCTAGGAAGTGCCATTTGTTAATTGTCAAATATTGATCACCTGCTATGTGCCTAGTAGATGCTTCACAAGATTATATCATCTAATCCTTATAATGATTTTGTAGAGTTGGAATTATTATCCCTATTTTATAGAAAAAATAAATTTGAGCCTTAAGATTTTAACATGTCTAGGGGCCTATCATTTGAAAGTGGCAGACAAGATGATCTAAGTGCAGGCTCATTTGGTTCTCAGGCTTATGACCCTATTGCTGTACTGGTCCACTTCTCAGTTTGTATAATAGTTTCTTGGTTGTTTTCAATAACATTGCATATTGTTTGCTAATCCAGCCTGCTTGTGATTATACTGACCAACTTTCTACAAATGTCTGCTGGTTAAGACATGTCTTGATTGCTAAAACAACAGACTCCTTAAAGTAAATGGACTAGTACTAATGTCTTAAATTCTTTGTTATACTGAAAATGTATAGTAATGGTATAGTTATGTTTCCTTGATGTAGACACCATGTACAAACTCACTCAGAAAATTTTTGACTGATTTAACTTCAGACTTTCTTTAGGACCAGTGTAAAACTGAAAAAGAATTTCTTCCATAATTTCTTTGGATTTTTTTAAAACAATTTGTTCTCTCCTAGGTAGGCATAAATAGTTTTAGTCAAAGAACTGGGTATCACTATAGCACTGCTTACTCACTCCAGAATAAAACTGTGATGCATACTACCAAAGTATAAGTCATTTTTGTGTTCTTCACTGTGAAATGGGGATAATAATAGTATCTGTGTCATGGGATTTGGGGACAATTAAGTAAGATCATGTATGTATCAGCTCTAGGAGGTTTTTTGGGTTCTGCTCTAGGAACCCTGCTGTTGTCATTTGTCCACAGGTTTTAGTTTCTCTACTTGTCAGAGTAATTTGAATCGGATCACTCCCCTTTCTGTGTGCTAACATTCCAGCCCAAGAAACTGCTGTCACTTCTTTTCTGGCCTGCTGTAGTAACTTCTACTCTTGCCTCTCACTTCATGGCAACTAGAATGATCTTAAATAGACATCACATCTTGTTTCTGTGTTTAAAAATCTTTCCATTTCTTAATATGAAATCCAGGTACTTTAGTCTGGCTTTCATATTTGATCCAGCTTCTGCTTTTAACCCTCTTGGCTGTAGGCTTTCTGCACTGCTTTTCTTTCTTTTTTCAACACATTGGGTGATTCTGGTCATGGCTCTTTTATTCAGTGCTATTCTCTGTGAAATGCACTGCTGCTAAGTCTATGGTTTCCCAGCCTTACCGGCTAAACCTTGACTTCTCTCTCTTTATATCTGTTTTCTGTACCCAGCTAGGAGCACATCCTGCTTGTTTACCTATAAGGTGTAGCTAACAGCTCCCGCCAACATGTTGGTCACTACCATTTCTGCTGGTTTGTAAGAACTTCTTAATTTGTCTTTCTCTACTATCACCCCCCCCCCCCCCCCCCCCCCCCCGCTGTAGCTTCCATCTGGCAGATAGATACTTTAAAAAAATAGATTCAAATTTTTAGCAGTTTTAGATTTACAGAAAATTTATAAAAGTTGCATACTTTACATCTCTTTCCCTGTTAATAATTTTCATTAGTATGATGCATTGTTTTAATTAATAGTAATAATGCATTATTAATATTAACTTAAGTCCATAGTTTATTTGAATTTCCTTGGGTTTACCTACTGCCCTTTTCTGTTCTAGGATTCCCACCCAGGATGCCACATTATACTTACCTGTTTTGTCTCCTTAAATACCTCTCACTGTGAAAGTTTCTCAGGTTTTCCTGTTTTTTTGATAACTTTGACAGGTCAGGTGTTTTAGTAAGATGCCCCCCTCCTAGAGTTTGCTTGATGTTTTTCTCCTTATTGGATTAGGGTTGTGAATTTTATGGAGGAAGATCATAGAGAAGTGATGCCACTTGCATCGCATCGTATGAAAGGACAAGAACTGTCATGACTTTACATTTTCTAGTCCTCCATTACTTCTCAGTAGTTGTGTGCCTCATAAATGCCAATCTGTCGGTTAGATCTTTAAAGCTTCTTGAGCATCCAAAGCTTGCTTTTGTCTTGGGGCCTTAGTTTCCTACTCCTCATGCCACTAAGTGCCCTTCTAAGTGTTAATAGCACATGGTTCATACCCTGACCTCATTCTGATTTCTGCTCAGATGTCATCTTACAGAGAGATCTTCACTGAATACTTTATTTAAAAAAAAAAATCAACACTAATCATTCTTTTTTTCTTTACCCTGGTTTATTGTCTTTTCCATTTGTTTCTACATGTCATGTATTTTTTATTTCTCTCTCTGCACTAGAATGTAAACTCCATGCAAGTAAGTTTTGTTCATTCTTCTATCCTTAGCATCTAGAACCATGCCTGGCACATAGTAGATGCTCAATAAGTATTTACAAGTGAACATATCTCCAGATTACTTTCTCATGTGATGATGTGGGTTTATCCCCTAAATGGTGTATGGTGTATTGTGATGTTTACAGAACCACATCATGTACAACATTGAACACTGCCTCTTAAAATACTTGCTGAAAATTGGTGTTTTTAAGTAGTTTTGATAATTGCTGGTAAAGAAAAGTGTTCATACGCTTTTAATTAACTGTATATTCCTCTCTGTTGAATTGTTTTTTCTACTGCAGAACTTAGTTTTAAATTGTATATAAGTTTAAATACACTGATAGTTTATAGTAGTTACATGAAAATAACTTATTTTTCCTCCTTTAGGTTATTATAGTGACTACATCACCAAGTTCAACCTTCGTGCCCAACATTCTCTCCAAATCCCATAACTATGCAGCAGTCACTAAGCTTGTACCAACATCAGTCATTGCTTCCACAACTCAGAAGCCACCTGTTGTTATAACTGCACCACAGTCCTCTCTGGTCAGCAGCAGCAGCAGCAGTGGCAACAGCAGTTCTACGCCATCACCTATTTCTAGTACAGTAGCAGTAACAGCCGTGGTGTCTTCCACACCATCCGTGGTCATGTCAACAGTAGCACAAGGTGAGTGGTGAGCCACTATTTAATTCTGTCCCTGTGTGGAGGGATTTTGATGACAACGGGGGTGGGGTAGGGAGTGAATGTGTGTGTGTGTGTGTGTGTGTGTGTGTGTGTGTGTGTGTGTGTGTGTGTGTGTTGGGTCAGTGATGGCTTGCACTCCCCTTACCTTGAAAATGAAGTGTTTGCAATTTTCTCTTCTCTGTAGCTGCTGCACCTTGTTCTGTTCTATCCCCCTGCCCCCATTCCTTTCTAAGTTCTTCCATTTGTAAACATGGAAGCAAAGAAGACACACTTTTAGGCTTTTCGTTAGATAAAAGTTAGTAGCATATTGTACATGCGGTTGTACACTTTAATGTTTGGAAAGAATAATTTATAATTTCGTGTTTAAAAGTTGCCTGCTGGTATCATAGAGAGAGGTGTGAATTGGTGTGTTTTGTGTGTATTTGAAAATAGTTTATTTTTAGAGGACCGCTTCTTATTTGGTTCTTCCAAATCTTTGCTCAAGATTGGAAGCTGTAACTAGCTTCTTGGTTGTCTCTCAGGTCTGTTCTTTTGCCCTCCAAATTAGCCCTCCATCGCTAATTACTTAGGCTGATTGCATTTTGTATTCTGTTGGCACCATCTCTTATGTGGTAAGAAATTTTTTCCTTTCATTCTATGCTTTTTTCATGTTTTTTGTGGACTTAATGAGTTCCTTTCACAATAGTGTGACAGTCTTCTGCTGACCTTGGTTCTTCCACCCTGAGCCTGCTTCAGCTTACATATATGTTGATTCCAGTTAGGTTGTACCTGCTAGTATTGCTCCCTTCATTTTCTTTAGACCAATTTGAAGACATCTCTATTCTCCTCTCTTACTCCATGAGATTCTGTCCTTGTCAAATTTCCCTATCCTACCAGTTTCATGATGGTCTACATTTAGCATCTAAGCAATGTTTTTAAAGTTTTTAAAACCTGAAACCAGTGGATTCAGGAATTTTACAGAGCGGTAGAAACATTTGAAAAGTCCACCAGTTGCTCATAGCCGTATTGCAATACACTTCTTTTTAACAGATTGACCCTTTTACCCACACTGGCAGTGTTGTTTATGTTTCTGTAATAAAAAGTTCAGACTTCATTTGATAGCATTTTCCTACAGTTTTGCATCATTGATGTGTTTCTACTTTCTAGAATTGCCTCAGTTATTTTCATTGTTGTTTAATTCTGTTGCTGTTGGCAATTTATTACTCATTTATTATTTACATTATTTCCTGGTTTTAGTATTCTAGATTAATGTCTTTGTGAATTTTCCTGGACCTCACTAACACTGGAGCAAGAGTCTTCAGTGGGAAAAGGGGGACTTCTGGGAGTGTCCTATGTGCACACTTTATCTTCTTGTATTAGATTATTTCACTAATGCGTGGCTAATAGTAAATCCTTGTTATCTTTGTTTATAAAACAATGTAAAATAAAACAACATTGTAGGGGAATGATTTCTTCCTTTTTAAAAAAAATTTATTTGTATTGTGTGTGAAAGCGTTTTTTGTATGTATTTGTGTGGGCATGCACATTCATGACACACGTGAAGGACACGTCAGAGGACAACTTGTGGGAGTTGGTTCTCTCCTACCACAGGGGTCCTAGGGATCCAACTCAAGTCTTCAGGCATGGCAGTCCCCTTTATCTGCTGACCTATCTTATAGTGGCAATTAATGAGGCAATTTCACGTACTTTATCTGATAGTCAAAAGGGGTTTATTTTGAGTCAACTTACAGCAAGCAAAGGGGTTGGTTATGGGATCCAGAACAGGTGAGGCACAGTCCAGTGCAGTTCTCTGGAGAACTCTGACTTGGTCTGCAGTCCAACATCCAGGATCACTAGGTAGCCAAGAGATCGAGCACAGATGCATTTCAGTTCTTACAGGATCCCCGTCTCCTCCAGTCCCTGTCTCGGCCACGCCCCGGGTGTGGGCTAGTACCTAGCAGTTACCTGCTGCCTACCTACTAGGGGGTGGTGCTTCAGGGGTGAAGCACAGACAACCACTCCTACACCATCTCACTAGCCCAAGAATCATTTTATAAGATTTTTTAAAAAATTGTAACTGCTTAAACTAGTATGTTGTCCCATTCTTGCTTTTTTCCATTTGGTATTTTCTTAAACACACAAAGCAAGCAGTACTCTTACTTTTATGTGTTATCTTTCTTCACTTATCCTTTATTTTTATTTGTGTGTGTGTGTGTGTGTGTGAAGGTGTGCATGTGTTAGTTACAGAGTGTGGCGGTCAGAAGCTAGGTTTGTGGAGTTGGTTCTCTTTTTCCACCTTTATGTTGGTTTTGGGGATCAAACTCAGATTGTTAAGCTTACACAGCAAATGTTTTACCCACTGAGCCATCTCTTTGGCCCAACTTATACTTTGTTACATAAAAAGGGTTTTTGGGTGTTTTTTTTTTGTTGTTGTTGTTTTTTCATGACAGGGTTTCTCTGCAAAGTTTTGGTGCCTGTCCTGAATCTTGCTCTATAGACCAGGCTGGCCTCGAACTCACAGAGATCTGCCTGGCCTAGTCTCCCAAGTGTTGGGATTAAAGGCGTGCACCACCAATGCCTGGCATTGGGTGTCATTCTTTCTCTAAAGTTCATGTTACAGCTTTTAACTATCTTATATTGTAATTAGTCCATTTTTTTTTATTTGGTATAATGAAGTATTTCAGGTTGGGTAACTTTATAGTGGAAAATGATTTATTTTGACTTATGGTTTGAAAATCCAAGATCAAGAACTTGCATCTAGTAATGACTTTCTTGCTTTCAGATCTGCAGGGTAGTGCATAGCAGTCATATGGCAAGAGACAGGAGTGCATTTGTGTACCTTCTCTGAGTTCCTTTTCTCTTAAAAAGCCATTGAGATTCAGTCATGGTTTCCTCCCTGACTACCCTGCTTAGTTTTAATGGTGTTCTAAAGATTCTACTTCTAACCTATAGACATTAAATTAGATGAAGTTTCTAGCTTTTTAAGGCTTTACATTGGGGATTGAATTCAACATATGGGCTGTGGTATATACTCAAACCATAGCACATATTTAGTCAAAATTACCAATGTAGCTTCATTCGTAATTCTTCCAAAGAAGGACTAATATGTTTGATTTAGTGGTATTCCCTGTATTCTTTTGGGCATCCAAATGTACAATAAATTAATTATTCTGGAATCTGGCTGGATTAGTGTCTAAATTTATTTGCAAAATGTGACGAGTGTTTGAATGAATGACTGCCAGTAAATAGGTGTTGGTTTTTAAGTAACTTTATTATTTCAGAACTTCACTGTTGGTTAGATGAGTACATTGTAGATATCATAGCCAGCCATGAAAATATCCAAAGGAAAAAGAGAAAATTCCTTTTTGTGTAGCCTTCCTAGAAAAGAGAGAAGACCTTACCTAGATACTCTCCAGGAAGAGATTCCTCTCATAGCATGTTGGCTATAACTAGCTTTACCTTGTTGCTGGGAAAAGTAATGGAGTACCATGGCAAGCTTAGATCAATTGAGAATTACCCTCTAAAGCTGACTTAGGGACAAGCCTCCATGCACATGTATGCCAATGCCCAGGAATGTGGATTCTCAAGGGGAAAAATATGGTTTTGTTAGAAAGGAAGAAAAAAATTAGATTAACAACCAACAATGGTAATAGAATTAAACTACAATGGAAACAAGTAAGATGGTTACAGAAAAATTAGAAGCTTGTTAATGAAGCAAGACTGTAACCAAGAGTGGGCATTGTAATTAGTCTACTTAGTAGATGTTTTTTATAACAGTTGACTTTACATTTGATTCTTTGTGTTCCCAAGATATTAGTTGGCTGATGGAATGGTCCAAATCCTCCTTGTTTTGACTCACCCACAAATCCCTCCTTCCTAAATCTTCTTTACTTTTCTATAGGTGTATCCACATCAGCAATCAAAATGGCATCCACAAGACTTCCTTCCCCCAAAAGCTTAGTGAGTGCCCCTACCCAGATTCTTGCACAGTTTCCTAAACAGCATCAGCAGTCTCCTAAGCAGCAGTTACACCAAGTGCAACAACAGACACAGCAGCCAGTGGCCCAGCCTTCCTCAGTGTCTCAGCAGCAGCCCCAGCAGTCACCATTGCCACCTGGTATCAAACCTACCATCCAGATCAAACAGGAGTCAGGTAACTAACTGGAAGATGTGCTTGAGGTCTGCTGCTATCCTCAATTTGCAGTTCTCCTGGTCCTGTAGGTCATTTGCATAGTGTGTCTTCCTGCTTATTTAGATCTTCAGTGTTTTATGGTTTCCAGTAGGAAATGCCTATAAATGCTTTTTAAGCTATAGCCCTAAGTGTCTGATTTTCTTAGAGTGACTCTAAATGATATCATGGTTTTAATTTCCATTTCACTTGTTTATTGTTGGTGTGTAGGCAAGTTACTGAACTTGAATCCTCCTCCTAGCCTGGTGAACTTTATTATTTATGGGAGTATCGACACAGATTGCTTGGATTCCTATGTATGCAGGATGTATTTCATTAAGTCATCTGTAAATAAGGACGGTGTTTTTCTTCCTTTCCAATCAGTATTCCTCCCTTATTTCCTCCTTTCTTTTCTGTCTTAATTCACTAGCTAGAATGTGTAAGTAGGAGTGACTAGAATAGACATTCTTGCCTTCGTCTCTATCTTGAGTAGCAGGCATTGGGTCTTTCAGCGTTGAGGGGGAGGCCTGTTACAGAATTTTTGTAGGTGCTTTTTGAATTGAGAATGTGACATTTCCACTTTCCTGGGGCCTTTCATTATTACTACATGTTAGTTTCTGTCAGTGTTCTCTCACGTTTAGGTGCTGTGACTACCAAAGACTTGTTTTTGTGTTTAGCTGCTGATATGTTGGATCACATAGGTTGATTTTTTTTTTTATTTGAACCAGTTACATATATGAAATAAGCCTCACTTGGTCATGATATATAATTTTTTTTTATACATCGGTGGTTTCAGTTTTTTTTTTTTTGTTTTTCGAGACAGGGTTTCTCTGTGTAGCTTTGCGCCTTTCCTGAATCTCGCGCCGTAGACCAGGCTGGCCTCGAACTCACAGAGATCCACCTGGCTCTGCCTCCCGAGTGCTGGGATTAAAGGCGTGCGCCACCACCGCCCGGCTGGTTTCAGTTTTTATCTCTGTCCATGAGAGAGTTTATTTTTAAATCTGTGTATGTGGTGAGTGTGTATATGCATGTATATATATATGTGTAATGTGTGTGTAGATTTCTGTGCACATGTGTGCAAGTGCATGTGGAGGTCAGAGGTTGATGCTGGTGTCCTTGATAACTCTTTACCTGATAAGTTTAGGCAGGGATTCTCACTGAACTCAGTGCTTGCCAATTTGGTTAGTTTAGTTACCCAGCTTGCTCTGGGATCCCTTGTCTCCACCTTCCACCTCTAGAACACTGGGATTATAGGCAGGACACCACACCTGCTTGGCGTTTGTGTGGTTGCTGGGATCTGAACTCAGTTCCTCAGATCATCTATCTGCCTTGGCGGATGTTGATAGATAGTTGTCTTACAGTTGTCTTTGCAGTGTCTTTGTCTAGTTTGGTTATCAAGTACTACTGGCCTCAGAATGAGTTTGAAGTGTTCAGTTTTCTAGAAGAGATTAGGGAAGACTGTATTAATTCCTTAACTATTTAGTGGACTTCAATGAATCACTGGGTTTGGAGATTTTCATTTTGGGAGCATTTAAATTATGAACTTACTTTTTTTTAATGGTAGGAAAACTATTTGGATTAGCCATTTTATCTTTGTTGAGCTTTGGTAGTTTATGGTTTTTAAGTTTATTCACGTTTAAGTTGTCAAAATGATAGTTATCACTATCAGTTCTTATTATCCTTTAAATGGCTACAAGGACTGTCCTAATGATATTTTTCTTTATCAGGCTTTCTAGGGAGTTTCATTATTATTGAGGTTTTTTTTCAGATTTTCATAGTTTTGCTTCATTGATCATTTTCTGTCATTTTTCAGTTTTTGGTTTCAATATTTTTTGTTTCGTTTGGCTTTGTTTTGCTTTTCTAGCTTCTTGAAACTGGAATGTGGATTATTGATTAAAGATTTTTTTTCTATACATTTAGCATTTAGTTCTGCTACGTCTATATAACTATGCTTTGATAAATCCTTCTCAGCACTATTTTGTCAGCATTCTATGTATATTTATATATTGTCATTTTCTTAAAGTTTTTGTTCTGAAACCTCCCCTGGGACTTCCTCTTTGATTTATTTAGAATTATGCTATTTTATTTCCAAATGTTTAGAGGTTTTTTGTTTTGTTTTGTTTTTGTTTGTTGTTTGTTTTTGGTGATCCTTTTGGTATTAGATTCTAGTGGATTCTACTATGGATTGGCATTATTCTCTGTGGTATTTCAGTTAGCATTAAGCAACTGTGAGGATAAGCTGAAATCCTGTTTTTCCTGAAAAGAATGTCCTCTGGCTAAGAGCTATGCAGAAGAGACCTAGCACTCTATGACTGTAGCAGTTTGGAGTAGAATCACCAACTTACTGAGCTGAGTGAGGGAAAAGAGAAATGGTCTTGGCTCAGATGTCACAGAACTTGACTTCAACTTTTAGGTTTGGTGGGGAGATGTTTGTTTGCTATTTGCCATAAGACCCCTTTCCAGAGTGTCTTAGTTAGGGTTATTGTTGTGAAGAGACACCATGACCATGGCAACTTTTATAAAGGAAAACGTTTAATGGGGTGACTTACAGTTTCAGAGGTTTAGTAAATTATCATTATGGTAGGACATATCGGCGTGCAGGCAGACATGGTGCTGGAGAAGCTGAGAGTTTTACATCTTGATATGCAGGCTACAGGAAATGTTTGTCTCACTGGGTGTAGCTTGAGCATTTATGAGACCTCAAAGCTTGCCTCCACAGTGAAACACTTCTTCCAACAAGGCCATACCTACTCCAACAAAGCCATACCTCCTAATAGTGCCACTCCCTTTGGGGGCCATTTTCTTTCAAACCACCACACAGAGCATTCTCCTTTATTGCATTGTATTTATATTTTGTGTGCACATGTGTGTATGTGCACATGTGCTGTGTGAGAGCATTCATTTGTGCATGCATGTGTGCCATGCTGTGCATGTGGAAGTCAGAATACCCCTTACAGGAATGGGTTCTCTTTCCACTGTGTGGGTCTTTAGGATGGAGCTCAGGTGGTCAGGCTTGATGTCAGTTCTTTTACCTGTGGAGCCATCCTGGGGTCTCCAGAGCCTTTTAATGATGGTTGCTTTATAACTTCCATTAGTTCCATTGTTCAATCTATTGTGTAGATTGAAGAGCTCCTCATGCCATTGCACCAGGCATGGCTCTGCAGAATGGTTTAGTGCATTGAAATGACTGTCCTTTTGAGGGCAACTTTTTTGGCCTGCCACTTTCTGAGAGAGTTGGAGTTCTTAAGAACTTCTTTGGAAATTTGTTTATTTGATTTGCTCTCTTTTTCATGGTCAGTTTTGAGAAATAATATTTTCTTGAAATGTTATTATTTGATACAGATTATCAGTTGATTTGCATAGGACTGAGTAGAGTTGTCTTTTGATTTTGTGAATTTTTTTCTGTGTGGTTATTTCTTGGAGCTTCTTTCTGTGTGAGCGTTATACAGGATTATGGTTCATTAGTAAGAAACACTAGAAATAATTTTTCCTTGTATAACCTCACTGCTTATAGTTCATTGTATTCAGAACTATTTCCACAATACTTATTGAATTCTTGACATGTATTAGATACTTTACACATTTATTTAACCCGTACAATAGCCTTATAAGGCACATACTGAATGATTTTTATTTTGTGGAAAAAAATAGAATCACGAGAGTTAAGTTACTTAACTAATTAATTATGCCCAAATACCGTAATTTTAATTTCTTTCTTAGCTAATAGTTTATAATTACTTAAAGCTACTAAATATGTAGAACTATTTCTTTCCTTAATGTCTCAGCTTAAATCCCCACCTGTATTAGATACTTCCCTGTTGTTGTGAAAGAAGCCATTTAGGAAAGGAAGAGTTTACTTTGCCTTGAAGTTAGAAGACCACAGTGGGGAAGTAACGGTGGCAGGAGCTTGAGGCAGCTGGGCACAGTGAGTCTGAAGTGAGGCAGCAGAGAGTGGGCAGTGCTCCTGCTTGGTTCCTGTTTTCTTTTTAGTCAGGATCAGAGTCCATAGAACAGTGCAGATCTTCCCTCCTTAATCTAGACTGGAAAATCCCTCCAGGCATTCCCAGAGGTTTGCTTCCATGGTGATTCTAAATTCTGTCAAATTGACAGTCAAGATAAACTATCACACTACACCAAAAATAATACAATTCTTAATTTTCTCTATGAGAATGTTTTATGTATGTCTTCAAAAGATTAGTGGTGGAGAAATGCCACTAAAATTTTCTTCTTTAGTTACCACCAATTTAGAACTGTAACTAGATCTCATACTTTTTAATGAGTCCTTTATGTTTGGAATGCCAATGTAAACATCATAGCATTGTAAATATAAAAATTTTTAAATGTTAAAAAGTCCCAACATCCATAACATTTTTATTGTATTTATTGTATATTACCTTTGAGTTCTTTTTCACATGCATATTTTATATAGTTACAATACACGGATGTGGCCTTTTTTGGCATTCTATATTTGGTAAAGCAAGTTATTAAAATGCTTTTTTAGAAAGCTATTTTACGACTTTAGGATATAGCTTAGTGGTAGAACACTTACCTAGTATGTCTGACTCCCTGGGTTCAACAGTATTAACAACAAACAAACAAAAACAAGAACTTTAAGCTGGGCATGGTGGCACACATCTGTAATCCTAGCACTCAGGAGGCAAAGGCAGTAGACTCTGTAGTTCCAGGCCAGGCTGGACTACTCACTGAGTTCCAGGCCAGCCCTGGTTATATAATAAGACCCTATCTCAATACAAAAAAGATGAGACGGCCATTTAAAAGAAAATCAAACAAAAACTGTTCTTAGCCTGTTAAGTTTTTATCAGCTTATTATGTCAGTTCTGAGTCATGAAAAGTCTTTGTTGCTGAGAATCTGGAAGGGCTGTGTGGACTGCTTGTGATGCCTTATGCTAGTCCCTTCTCAAGTATTTGTATGGAACAGATTTGCTTTTGCTAACTGGTTTGAAAGCTCGTATGCTCACCGCCATAGACAAAAGTCCATATTTAGTTTCCTTTAAGAAATCTGTTAATATAAAATTATACCTGCATTCTTGAATTGGGAGAATTTAGGAAAGAGGAATTTGAGCAATGAAAGCATAGAGTTTCATCAGTGTAAAAAAGGATCTCTAGAGTAAGATTCAATAAATGTGTGTGACTATTGCCCTAATGGGCTAAGTGGCATTCTTTTAAAATTATTTGTACTGAGATTTATCTTTTCTCTTTCAAAGGTGTTAAAATCATCACACAGCAGGTTCAACCGAGTAAAATCTTACCCAAACCAGTGACTGCAACTCTACCCACCAGTAGCAATTCCCCTATTATGGTGGTTAGCAGTAATGGGGCAATTATGACAACTAAACTGGTAACTACTCCTACCGGTAAGTTTCACAAGCATCAGTCCATTCATTCATAAGTCATCAAATAACTTCCCATACCAGCAGTGTGTTGACATTGCATATCTAAAAGTTAATGAGACAGTTCTACAAAGAAGTCTTTTTTATTTTGTTTTGAGACAGAGTCTGTGGCCTAGAACTCTGTATGTAGCTGAGGATGACCTTGAACTCATATTTGATCCTCCTGTCCCTACCTTCTGAGTACAAGGATCATAGGTGTGGGCCACCACACAGGTTTATCAGGTGCATAGTTTTCAAAAGGTCTTTCTTGACTCCCTCAACTCCTGTCCTGACCCCTGAAGTTAGCTCTCTCTGATATATTTTTTTTCACAGTCCTCTGTTATTTTTCTTTATTGCAGTTACTCCAATTTCTACTTATCTAGTTGTTTGAATTGTTTTATCCATATTGGACAATAAGCTTTATGGAATTAAGGGAACAAATCCATTTATTCACTATATGTAGGTGCTCAGTCAGGATTTGCTGAGTAACTGAAAACATGTCCAACTCACAAGGATGTTACTCATAAAAGTCCATGTTACACATTACAGTGTAGTAAGGATTGCCTAGACTGATGGAAGCATGCCATTGTTCCCAGATAGACAAGCAATCAATTTGTGCTAGAGGTAGTAAAAAGAAGAGCATTTTAAATTACCACTCTTTGTGAACTTTGTAAGTGTTAAATGATAACCAGTCAGGAGCTAAGGAGATAGCTCAGTGTGCAAAAGCACTTGTTAAAATGCAAGTGTAAGGACCTGAGTTCAAATCCCTAGAACCTACATAAAAGCCAGACCTATAGCAATACTGGGTCATGTTTCTGTATTTATAGTGCAACAGGGTTTCTTTTTTTTTTTTTTTTTTAAGTAGAAGTTTTTGGTTTTGTCGTTATAATTCAAAGCATTCAAACTTTATACCCCTGTACTATGTTTACTTTGGACTAGACTTTTTTTCTGGTTCAGATATATTCTGTGAGCAGACTAATTCTTCTTAATGTTCCTCTTATGCTTGTAGTGGTTATAAGTTTTTAAAGTAAGTGACTTCCTAACCTAAAGGTAATTTTTTCTGAGGTGGGATATTTTGAAAATGTCTGTTACAGTTTTCTCTGAATCTCACTTCAGTTTAAGCAAATGCCATCTTAGTCTTTTCTCCGTTTCCTCTTCATTTTTCCTGAGACTGATCCTTCTTGTAGGACTAGTCTTTCTGAGTTACTGGTTTATAAGAAACTGCAACAGACTCATCTGATTAGTTTTTAATCTTTTGTGAAAGAGAAAAGTCATAGAAATAGTAGGAAAGGGTATAAAATCTTTTGAGAGAGATGGAAAGATCGATTTCCCAATAAGTCAGTTAAAGTTGAGGAATTATGTAAATAGAGATAATTTTAGTCTAAAAACTGTTCCTGGCAATTCTTGGCAGTTTCAACTATATCTCTAGTAAAATGATAGAATGATCCTTTAAGAGATGGAAATTTCACTGGGCAATGGTGGCGCACACCTTCAATTCCAGCACTCGGGAGGCAGAGCCAGGTGGATCTCTGTGAGTTCAAGGCCAGCCTGGTCTACAGAGCGAGATCCGGGACAGGCTCCAAAGCTACACAGAGAAACTCTGTCTCTAAAAAAACAAAAAATAAACAAACAAAAAAAGATGGAAATCTCTTTAGAGAGTGGCAGGTAAAAAACGGAAAAGTTATAAAATTTTAAATAAATATTGCCTTATTTGCTGAATGGTGACATTAACTTTTGCTCTGGGCCAGTATCAACCAGACATAGGGACCTTAAGTAGCTGTAACAGAGACACTTACAGTGCTCTGGCATAAAGATAGCAGGAGAAGGGGTAGGAGGGTCTACCTTTTCTTGGGCTGGTAATTTGATGCAACACATCACAAAGTTTTACATGTAAAATTAATTTGAATCAACTTGGCATTGGTTTTTGCTATACACATTGAAAACTGGCTGTAAAGTTGGAAATGAATGTCTTGACACCTTACAATTCCTTTTTCAAGTTAAAGTGATATATATGACATTGAGCTATAGTAAAATTGTACAATTATCATTCTTTTTATAAGTTAAAATTTTTGATAAATTTTCTTTTCACTACTTTCTTCTTATAGGTACTCAGGCAACCTACACCCGGCCAACAGTGAGCCCATCCTTAGGTCGAGTAGCCACAACCCCTGGAGCTGCAACCTATGTGAAAACTACCAGTGGTAGCATCATTACTGTAGTACCCAAATCATTAGCTACCTTGGGAGGCAAGATAATTAGCAGTAATATTGTTTCTGGTAGGTATGTCTAGAATATGTTAAAAGCATGGTGATTTTTGGTTAGAAGAAAAGCCAAGTTTCTCTACAGCAGGACTCTATTAAACACCAGGTTTTGCTTCAAAATTTGACACTTTGTTTTCAGTCCTTATATGTAATGATTAAACACAGCTTTTGGTAAGTCTAAAGTTGAAAGAGCATTTAGTTTTAAGTCACAGTGCAAAATTATGGTTTATGTTTGCATAGGGATTTTTCATTTAAAAAATAGTCTCACATTTGTCAGCCCTTTTAGACTCTATATAACTTGAGGTATTGTGCCAACTTTACAAATGGACACATGAGGATTTAGAGGTAACATGAAGCTGTCCAATGTTTGCAAAAAGGATAATGGAAGAACCTGTATTTGCATCTGAATATGTTTCAGGAACATAGTTTGGATTTTCAGTTACTAATGTCACTTTAGCTTATTAAACATAAAATATTTGAATATCTTTGTTTTTCACCATTCGTGATGTTTACTTTTTAAAATTATTTTACTGAGATAGTAAAACCAACTCTCTGCCTATTTATTGGTATGTTGGAACAGTACCTGGTTTTTATTGGCTCATTAATCTTTACAGTATTTGGGTTGCAGATTCTGAAGTAGAATGTTAATGTGGCATTTGTTTTCATTGATTATTATTTTTAATTAAAATTATGTAAATGATCTGACTAAGCAAGCCTTGTGGATTTTAGCTGTCTACTATTTTTGTAGACTAGTCATGTTTTGTCTGCCCCGGGTGAGTTGTTCTAACATTTTTAAAATGAAAGGAATAAAGTTTCTGGCAGTATTTTATGTTGCTGATAACTCAGAGAATGGAAAAAAGCAGAACAGAGCATGGTGTTGGCATAAAGCTCTGTATTCAAAGCTGTTAATTTTGGCTCCACTCTTAAGTGTAAGTGAGAAAACCCAGTGCTTGCCAACCTAAGGAGGGTGAGACGAGAAGGGAAGGATCATTGTGCTGTAGCTTTTAAGTGGATATATAAGGAACACAGTTAATACTCTAATTTATCATTTGATAGTATCTTTAAATAGTCTAAAGCTCTTGTTCAAACACATTTCAGAAAGTTGACTTCATTGGAAGGTAGCTTTTTAAGACCTTGAACAGATTTTTACATGTATCTGAGTTCACAGTACTATATAGCTTACAGGTGTGTCTAGATGTCATGAGGTCTCTTTTGGGACCTTATCATGGTGTAGCTGTTCTGTACTAGATTAGAGTCATGTCAGTATACAATCCTAGAAGCAGAGGTTTGATCTAATATCTGTGTATTCTCTCTCTCTCTCTCTCTCTCTCTCTCTCTCTCTCTCTCTCTCTCTCTCTCTCTCTCTCACACACACACACACACACACACACACACACACACATATGTGCTCACCTTTGTATTAAAGATGGAACTGCTCAAGGTTAGTTGCTATTTCAAGTGAATGAGTGGTTCTACATGAGAAGAATTATTAGAATTCTCCAGCTTTCCAACACTCTAGAATATATTGACATAGAGTTAAAACAGTTTAATTTGGTGTCAAATACTTTTACCTACTGAGCCATCTTTCTGGCTCTCATTTCCCAATCTTTATTTTTAAAAAAATATTGCTTTTCTTTTCTTTATATTCTTGCTCTCCTATGACATTGAGATCATAGTATAGTAATTTTAAAAATCTACATATCACCAGCTGGTAGCCTGGTTGAACAAATTTAGATAATTTTCCACCTTTATCTATGAGCAGGTGGTGGATTCTGATTTCTCTCTTCCCCACACAAAAGATCTATTTTTGCTAAAACATTCCCAGACATTCAGCTGTAAGAATAGAAGACTTTAAAACAAAACAAAAAATTTTTCCTCTCATTGTTGGGGAATTTAGAAAGGTGCAAGCAACATTAAGATTCCATAATGTTTTGTGTAAATGTTTATATTATAATTTAAAATTTTATTTTTTATTAACAGTTTAGATATTTTCCCATATCGGTAAATGTATTTTAATCACCCAGTGGTTATGAATATTTCCCTGTGTACCATAATTTAATCATATTCTTACTGTTGAGTGATTTAATTGTTTACAGATGTGGGGTTTTTGGCTTTTAGATTTTTTTCTTATTGGTTATTATAAATAATCTTGTGGTGAATATATTTTTTTGTGAAGCTCTTGCTTCCTTTGTATAACACCTTAGGAGGCAGATTAATTTTTCCATAGTACTTTCTAGAAAAGTTGTATTTTTATTTTTATTAGACGGAACAAATGGAAACTATGTTATTTATATGCATATATATCAGATAACTTTCATACACACACACACACACACACACATATATATAGTGAATATTGTTGAATTTTGATTGTAGAAATATACTCATTTTATGCAGAAGTTTGTTTCCTTCAGAGATGAATTAATTGTCTTAACTTTAAGGGCATTTTGAGGACCTGGGGCAAGACTTGCTTGTGACTTACAATCTTTCAATGTCTAGCAAGGAGCTGCTGTTTGTATACTTTTTTGTTTATTTTTTGAATTATTCTTTGGGCAAAGCAGCATAAAACATTACACAGAAACCAAGATAGAGTGATTTAAGAATCTATGGATAGTAGGATCTAAGCCAATAAATTTGTTAAGTCAGCGTACCATAGTATTCACACACATACCCCACCCCCCTTGGGATGCCCAGCAAACACCTTGCCAGTGAGAAGCACTCCTCAGTACTTCTCTCCCCACCCCACTCAGTGTTATATTTTGAATCAGGCTCTTGCTGAGTTGCTCAGGCTGGCCTGGAACTTGCAGTCCTTTTGCTTTAGTCTCTGGAGTGGTGTAGCTTACACCACCAAACCTGACTATAATCGTTTTGAGTTTTTTCACAATTTGTTGTTACTGTTGGAGACAGGATCTCATCATATATTTCAGGCTGGCCTCACACCAGCTATATAGCCTAAACTGTTGTTGAATTTGCAGTTCTTTTTTCTCTGTGGTTTACAAGCATCCCCCGCTACTCCCACCTCCAAAAAAAAGAAAAGACTCTTTGGAATTCATCATCAGAGAGCCCATTGAGATCCAAATGTGATTGTTACTTGGTTCAATGTTATTTATTTATTTATTTATTTATTTATTTATTTATTTATTTATTTATTTATTTTTTACCCTTTTTAAGTATAGTGTCTTTTGGTAGGTTCTCTGAAATGCCAGATTCTATCTGTGGTACTGTGATACATAAACATGTACACAGGATTCAGTGTGTGCCCTAAAAAAAATGCTAAATGGGTTGGGAGGTTGTGGTGCACGCCTTTAATCCCGGCACTCAGGAGGCAGAGACAGGCGAATCTCTGTGAGTTTGAGGCCAGCCTGGTCTACAGAGTTCCAGGATAGCCTCACTGTAACACAGAGAAACCCTGTCTTAAAAAACAAAAACAACAACAAAAAGATTTGGGCTGGAGAGATGGCTCATTGATTAAGAGCACTGGCTGCTCTTCAGAGGACCCAGTTTCAATTCCCAGCACCCACAATGGCAACTCACACTGTCTGTAACTATTTCCAGGTGACCCAACACCCTCATACAGACATACATGCAGGTAAAACACCAATGCACATAACAAAGATTTATGTGCTTTTCTTAAAATATCCACAGAAGGCAGGTGTGGTGGCACATACCCTTTAATTCCAGCACTTGGGAGGCAGAGGCAGGCAGATCTGAGTTCAAGGTTAGTCTGTTCTACAGAGTGAATTTCAGGACAGCCAAGGCTACACAGAGAAACCCTGTCTTCAAAAACCGGGGGATGGGGGTGTTGAGGGGGTGAGGAGAGACTGCTAAATGGACTACAGATGAAGCTCAGAGGTAGAACAGTTGCCTAGTATGAGTAAGGCCCTGGGCTTGATTCCTGGAACTACAAAAGAAAACAAATTTTAAAAACTAAAGAAAAACAAGGATGCTAACTAGCTTCTGCGGGTTCCGTTGTATTGTGGAAACTGTAGATCCACTACTATGAAAGCCTAGCTTTGCATAGTTTTTTCCTTAGGTGAAACATACACACTGGAATTTCATGCATTTAGTACTAGTCATTCTAAAAAAGAATGATGTTCCAGTTTATTAATACAATGTTACACTTATTATTTCCTGTTAGTCCTTTTTCTCCATTTTGAATTATTGACTCCCCCAATCCCCATTCATTAAACTGGTAGACTTGACTTATGACTGTCTCCTGAATTGATAAACCTTTATAATGGAAGGGGTAGATATTTTAGTACATAAAAATAAATCCAGTTGCTAAGCAAGTTTTATCTTAAACAAAATGACCCTTATATTTTGGTGTTAATTTAAAAGCATAGTTTATGTTTCCTTGAGGTAGTTTTTATAAAAACACTTTTCCATTATCAAATATTTGATAATTTTCCAGTGTATAAAAAGGCTCACACAACCATATATGAGGGATTAGAATTAATCAAGAGTTAAAGTTGGTTTAAGTGAATAATGAGCAGCTTGGTCTTGTGGTTTATAATGGCCTACTTATTTACTGTATAGTTGAAGGAAAAAACAATTGTAAAGCTAGTCGGTAGATGCAAGTGCTTTCCTATGTACCTGCTGAATGGCACCCGGGATTGATGAGGCATTGGGTATTGCAAGTGTATTGTGATGATTTCTAACAGGATTGCCCCAATTTAACAAATTCTTAATCATCCTTAAAATGTTTTTTTAGATTTATGTGTATGAGTGTTTTGCCTACATATATACGTGTGTGTGTGTGTGTGTGTGTGTGTGTGTGTGTGTGTGTGTGTGTGTTCATCATGTACATGCCTGGTGCCCATGGAGGTCATAAGAGGGTGTTGGATCCCTTGGAATTGGAATTGGAATTATGGATGGTTATGAGGCACTGTATGGGTGCTGGGAACTGACCTCAGGTCCTCGACAAGAACAACAAGCCCTTAATCTCTGAACCATCTCCCCCGCCCCTTCTGAATAAATCTTAGAACTAGAACCTTGTTATTCTTGGTGTAAGATTATTTCATATAGTATGTTAATTTGAAATTCTAGTAAGGAATGTTAATATTTTTTCCAATGGAAAATAATTAGTAATGTTTTTGAGAATATATTAGTTGTGTTTTTATTGAGTGCCCATTCTGTATTTACTTATTTACTACACCGGCCTGTAGAAAAGTATGATCTGCCTGCTTTCTTAGGCCCAGAAAATTTTAGGAGCTAAAGTAGAATTGGGACTAATATGCTCAGTATGAAATCAGCACACTGAAGGAAGGGTGTATATTGACTAATCTTAAAATCTGTCAGAACTTCAAAAGTTCCACACGGGAGTTTGGGATTTGTCGGATAAGTAGTGGGAAACCTCAGAGTTTGCCGTCAGTTTCTGTTGCCTGTGAACAGGAGGAACTAATATTGTTAAATTGGTAGATTAAGGCTCTGAACCAGTGTAAGCTGCTATTTTTGTTTATTGGTTTTAATATTTGTTGTGAGGGATAGGGGTGCTGGGATCAGAGGACAACTTGCATGAGTTGGTTCTCTCCTTCTACCCTGTGTGGCCTAAGGATTGAATTCAGTCATCAAGGCATGGCGGGCAAGTGACTTTGCCTACTGTGCCATCCTGTGAGCCCACATGGAGATTGTGACGTTCAAGAGTGAAAGTTGAAACTAGATGTAGTGGGGATTAGGAATACTCTTTAAGACCAATTTAAGCTGTTTCAGATTCTTGATGTGAAAGGTTTCATTTAGGAGATTGGGTTTGGTATAGAATATCAAAACTGTATGACAGAGAAGCTTGAGATGGGGAAGCAGGGAGGAAGAGGAGAGCAGTGCTGACTGCGCTTGCATGGACACCATTATTTATTTATTTGTTTGTTTGTTTTTATTTATTTTTTTACGTTTTATAAAATCTTTATTGACAAATAATTCACATAGTATACAATTTGCCTGTTTGCACAATTTGATAGACTTTAGTCCAGCATCCTCAGGCCCATGACAACATCACCACTTTCTATTTTAGAACATCGCTGTCTTTTTCATACGCACATATGGTGATTACATTCCACCTTATTTTTTTAAATGAACATAATATTTGCAATTGTAACCATTTTTAAGTTCACAATTCAGTGGCATGAATTATATTCATTTTTTAAAGAAGATATGTTACTGATATACTGAAATCATTCATATATGTAATAAACAGTTTCAAAGTAATTGCCACCCTCTGTGCTAAACACCGAGCCATCAGCGACAAGAAAAGGTCATATTTTGTTGTCAGGTACAGGGAGTCAAGACAAGGCAGGAATCCAAGGTTTGTACCAGCTCTTCTAACTTGGACAATTAGAATGTAGAGCATACATTTGGTAGTAGATAGATTTGATAGATGGGAGAGAAGCAGACTGTAGAGGAAAGGCCACTATATGTTTTTGTCAGTAGGTTTATACACTTAGAAAGTAGATCTTTTCTATCTTATAGAAAATTAGGTTTCATTACGCCATTTTCAAACAAAAATTATTTTTGTTTCTTTACCCTCTTGTCCCATCCCTGTCCCTCCCTTTTCCCTCCTCCTCCCAGTAGTAGCCCCTTTTGCACTTTGATGTCCCATGGGACCTTTTGTTCTTCCCTCTCGCCTTTCTTAACACCTGTTCTCCCTCACAGCCCCGTATTTTCATGCATCCAGGATCCAAATATGAGGGAGAGCATGAGATGCTTGTTTCTCTCAGACCGAATTACCTCACTTACATTATAAGAAAGTAGATCTTAATGACTGAAAACAATTTTACCCTGTCAGTCGATTTCCTCCTTGCAGTCTCTAGAGTTGTGCACACTCAGAAGCACATATTGACTGCCACTTGGTCTACACATCTGTGTTCACTTTTTTTTTTTTTTTTAATTCATTTTGGTTTTCTAAGGTAGGGTCTCACTCTACAGTACAAGCTGGTTTAGAACTCACAGCCCTCCTGCCTGCACCTCTCAAATGCTGGGATTACACACGTTCACTCCCACACACAACTGTCTTTTTGTACGCCTTTTTGTAAATTTTTTCTACAATTTAGTGAATCTTGATGTTTGCCTCTAATGTTCCTATTTTGAAGAGCGTTTCCATCATGCTGGCCACATAAATTTAATAATTAGATTTGTGGGAAACACATGTCATAAGATTTTTGTTTAGTTTTCAGGAAAGAGTGTTGATGGGGAAATGGACAGTGATATTTTTAGATTTGGAATTTGGTGTGTAGGTCCTCAGATTTTCAAAAGAGGATTATTTTAAGACTCACTTCTTGCTGGGCATGGTGGTGCATGCCTTTAATCCCAGCACTTGGGACGCAGAGTTAGAGGCAGGCAGATCTCTCTGAGTTCTAGGTCAGCCTGGTCTACATAGTGAATTCCAGGCCAGCTGGGGCTACATAGTGAAACCCTGTCTCAAAAACCTTAATAATAATTTAAAAAAAAGTACATTCTTAGTATTTATCATTCTGGGGTGATTCAGAATTTACTATTCCAAGCCTTCTTTTTTGTCCTTAGGACCACATTCACGTCATCTAAAGGTGACATTGTTTAAACATATTACTTGTATACATCATAAACAGGATCAACCAAGTATCACTAGTCCTTAACTCAGGCCTCCTTTTCTTCCTACTTCTCTAAGGAACGACTACCAAAATCACTACAATCCCAATGACTTCCAAGCCCAATGTGATTGTTGTACAAAAGACTACAGGAAAAGGAACGACCATTCAAGGCCTCCCTGGCAAAAACGTTGTCACAACATTGCTAAATGCTGGAGTAAGTAAGACCTTGAACGCACTAAGTAATCCACTAAGCATTTTTTAAAATTTATTTATTTATTTTATGTGCATTGGTGTTTTGCCTACATGTATGTCTGTGTGAGGGTGCTGGATCCCTTGGAATCAAAGTTCCAGACAGTTGTGAGCTGCCATGTGGTTGCTGGGAATTGAACCTGGGTCCTCTGGAAGAGCAGCCAGTGCTCTTAACCTCTGAGCCATCCCTCCAGCCCTCCACTAAGCATTTTAAAGGCCATCTATACAAACATTTTTTTTTAAGAACATCAGAACCCCATAGTGGATGGAACGGCTTGATTCTCTAGTGCTGTGATAGAATAACCTTTATCCATCATCAACGGATGACATTTTTCACAGTAATGTGAAAGCATGTTGCTCCTAGCTGCTCATAGCAAGGTGGCTTGTGACCATGGTTTGAGTGCTTAGTTTCATTCAGATGGAGAATTCCACTGGCTTAGCTGCAGGAAGACTTGGAACAGTTTTATTCCTGCTTATGGCCAGTAGATAAGCATTTGGTTTAGGTTAGACAAAGAAATATTTGAGTTTAAGATAAAATTGTTAGATTGGGTTTGTTACTTAAGGTTTGTTCCTTATCTCCCCCTCCATTTCCCCCATTTTAGGCTCCAAAGGCAATTGTGAAGAGGATGGAGTTGGACACATTTAGGCTTTGTGTCTTTCTATTATTGTATTTGATCTTGGGTGGCTTATTTAACCACTGTAATCTTTTATTTCTTCTTGTTTACATTGGGGTGATGATGGGTGTTTTGAAAGTGCTTAGAACAGTGTCTAACAACACATGGGAAGTTCTGTCATTGGTTTCTTACTGTTCTTGGTATTTAAGCACTCAGGCTATTTTTCTGACCTCACTAGAAGACAGAGATCTTTCATATAAGTAGATCATAAAAGCTTATGTATCATAGTCTTTTATAATACTGAAAGTGGTCCTCATTAGGCCTCTTTTGAATTTACATAGCAATTCAGCAGGAAAGCCAGGATTCTGTAGTACAGAGGCAGAGGCAGGCAGATCTCTGTGAGTTCCAGGCCAACCTGGTCTACAAAGCAAGTTCCAGGACAGCCAGAGTTGTTACCCAGAGAAACCCTGTCTTGGAAGCCTGCCCCCTTCAAAGGGTATGTTATCTGCTACAAGAGATCTAAGAGTCATGTGCGAATTTTGTCTAGTAGATACTTGAACAGTAGTTTGTCAGGCAATGCTAGTAAATCGAATAGATCAATCTATGGGACCATTGTCATCAGCACACAGAACACGCGTTTATACTCCCCACCTGCATCCATGCAGGCCTACTACACATGAGAGGAACTTTCTCAGATGACATCCTGGTTTTGTTTGGGTCACAGTACTTGGACAGGCTGTCAAGCCATTTACAGATCAGCATGCCGCATACTTGCAAACTGGTGGCTGTTGGAAGACAAATCAGAACTCTTTCTGGGAACACTGCTGCACACAGTATGTGAGAGTTGAAATAGCCACCTGATTAGAAACACTTTGTTTCCTTTTGATAATTGTAGTTGATAGTTAGGTTTATAATTTTTAAGCTCAGATTTAGATATGAATTCTCAATGGTTGCTTTTTTGACAGCTCACCTGGTTCCTTTCAGTTTATCAACTGCTCAGTTTGAAAGCTACACATCTATGATGATGATAGCTAAAAATTAAGAAAATCGCTAATGTGAAAACTGCTAACTCTTAATTTTATGAATTTTAATCTATAATTATTGGTAAAATTACTATATTTGAATTTAATTCAGTTAAATTCAAATAGAACTATGCTGAGATTAAAACTGTGATCAGAAAAACAGTACTTCAGAAAAAAACAAAGGGCTGAGGATATGGATTAGTGGTAGAGCATTTACCTAGCATGTATGAAGCCTTGGGTTTGATTTCTAGCAACACACATACATACACACAGAGGGGGAGAGAGACAGACAGACAGAATAAAGCAGGTGAAAATTCAGAAAATGGTGAAAGGCTTGAATCTGTAATAGACTAAAGTGATATTAGTAACATACTAGTAAACCATGAGAAATGCTTTATGTTTTTCCCCTTTCTTCCTGTAACCTTAGAAAGAATGTTAATTCTTTGCGCTTTTCATCTTCCCCATACTTCTTTTTATAGATATCCTGCTGTATACCTTTATAATTTCATATATGCTTGATTTATTTTGTATGTGTATGTTTATCTGTTGATATTCTGCACAGTTTTTTATTACATAAATATTGACTTCAGGTATATTAAAAAGTGAAAATGAGTGTGGGAGATGACCTATAATTTCAACTTTCAGACATAACAATTGTTAACATTTTAATATATGTTCTTCCAGACATTTGTTTTAATATAGGTATTCTATGAATGGGATAGTATAAGTTCTTAGATATTCTTAGATGTGGTAATTTTAAAAAACTTAATCGACAGAAATAATTTCGTTTTTTGGCTAGAAAGTTAGTCAGATGACTTGTAATATTATTTCAACTAAGTCCAGGATTTTTTTAATCACTTAAGAAATCGTGTTCTTTGTTGCATAATCTATAGTCCTTTTCCCATCCTGGCAAAATCTTTCTGTGCTTTTTCAGTAAATGGACCATTGTTTGTTTTTTTTTTAATCACTTAAGTGCATATAAATATCTTAAATAATGATTGACTTCAATTTAGGGAGAAAAGACTCTTCAGACAGTGCCAACTGGAGCAAAGCCAGCAATCATTACTGCTACAAGACCCATCACCAAAATGATTGTAACACAGCCCAAAGGAATAGGTTCCACAGTCCAGCCGGCAGCTAAAATCATCCCAACAAAAATCGTCTATGGACAACAAGGGAAAACACAGGTATGCTGTAAGATATGGTAACTTTTCTTGGCTTTTGAATATTTAAAATTCTCAGGTAGAAATTTTCTTCCCTTTTCTTTCCTCCAGAAGACCAGAGTTTCATTCCATGTACCCACATTGGGAAGGTCACAACCATTTTTAACTCCAGCTGAAGAGGATTCAAAACCCTCTTCTGGCCTCTGAGGGCACCATATACATACACAGACACATTAAAAAACAAGAAGGAAGAATCATAACTGTAGCAGTTTGGCATGTCCCATTTAAATTATTGTACATAGCTTAGCTCTAGTTCATCTGTGGATTAAATTAGTCTTTGGTAAGCAATACTGGGCCCAAAGCCTAAATAATAAATATACATAATGGTAATTTCTGTGCCTGGAAAATGACCTCTAAGTTTAGCTTTTGTTGTTGTTTGTTTCTTTTTTGGACAGGATTTCATTCTAGCCAAAGGTGTCTTTGAAGTCGAGATAAACTTCCAGCCTCTCCCAAGTGCTGGGGTTATAGGCATAAGCCACCAAGTTCTGGGGTTATAGGCATAAGCCACCATGCCTGGCTAGTTTAGCATTTAAATGGCACTCTGAGATTTCATCTGGGCATGTTTCTGATTTTCTTCTAGGTTCTCATTAAACCCAAACCAGTGACATTTCAAGCTACAGTTGTTAGTGAACAAACAAGGCAACTGGTAACAGAAACATTACAGCAAGCATCTAGGGTAGCAGAGGCCGGTAATTCATCTGCTCAGGAAGGAAAAGAAGAATCACAGGGTTACACAGATAGTAGTTCCTCTTCCACGGAGTCCTCCCAGAGTTCCCAAGGTAAGAATTACTGTACTTCTGATTACACAAACACTGATGACATCGTGCCTCAGTTCTGAAGCAGCTATTACTTCTAGGGATTCCAAACCAAACTTGTATGGTGGTAGTTCTTTTGATTTGATTTGATTTTTTTTTTTCCTGTTTAGTAATTGAGCTGAGATTTTATTTTTGATATAGATTACCATTCCTACCTTGTGTCATATGTTCATCAAATCATTGATAGATTTTAGATGATGATTTTTAATCAGGTAAGTAGTGTTGAGCTGGGCACAACTGTAGCTTCTAGATGGTAACTTTTGTGTTTTTCCTCTTTGGTTTGGGGGAAGTAGAAGAAGTATACAAGAAAAGGAATGTGTTTTTAAAATTGATTATTGCTAAAACTTGAGAAAGAGTCAAGGTGGCCAGAGGTGAGCTGTAAGTGGGTGGCTGTACATCCCAGTGTGTATGGAGTCTTAGTTTATGTTTGCTGTCCTGCCTAATTATGAAGAACATTGCCTTTAACTCTGAAAAGTATTCCAAATGGTAATCCGTAGTTATCCCATTTATTAGAAGATGAACGCCACAGCAGGAGATAATTTTCAATATTGCTGTCATTATGACATTTTACTAGGAAGTCTCTTACAATATACACTCAGGGTCTACTCTGAAGCTCTGAGACATTGTCTTCTATTCATGTTACTCAATTACCCTCACTGCCCTTACTGGGTGCTACAAGCTGAGGATCCTGTCTGAAATACTTGGGATGAGAAGTATCTTGATTTCAGATTTTGTATTTGTGTGTTAGTGTTTGTGTGTGTGTGTGTGTGTGTGTGTGTGTGTGTGTGTGTGTGTGCAAGAGAGGGGCTGGAGAGAGAGAGACTGAGAGACTGAGAGACTTTACAGATGGGATCCAAGTCTAAACATGACATTCATATATGTTTCATATAAACCTTATACACTTAGTCTGAGGTAAGGTTTTTGGTTTTGTTTTTTCCCCCTGCACCTGTGTTCTGACTGTGACCATCATGTGAGATCAGGTGTAGGATTTTCTGCTAGTAGTGTCACTTTGCTTAGAAAGTTTCAGATCATGGAGCATTTTGGATTAGAGTCTTTAGCCTATGTTTATGTCTGTGCTTATGCACTCTGATGCATCTAAGCACAAATGTTCTTCTTTCCCCCTATTCCTTGTTCTTCTCTTCCTTCTCCTTGCTTCTTCTACATTAGCCTTACTGGTATGCCTGCCTTTTTTTTTTTTTTTTTTTTTAAGCACTGTTAGAAAGCACATTTTTTTCATATTATACACATTATTTTTAATCTTCAATGATGCTTTCACATTCATTTTACATAGTTTACATTGCTGCATGTTATTTGTTGACAATTATTTGTCGGTTTGAACTATGTAGTAAGAATTGTGTGAGGCCCTATAAAGGTTGAGTAAAATGCAGTTCTTGCCCTTTTTTTTTTGCCCCCTTTAAAGATAGAGTTTCATAAAGCCCAATCTGGCTTCCAACTCCAGCCGTGAATAGTCTTGAACTTCTGATCCTGCTGCCTTTATTTTCCAAGTGCTGGGATTACAGGTGTGTACCACCACACCTGGCTAATTGTTGTGCTGTAGGAGCTTAAAATTCAGACTAGGAGGTTTTAAAAAAATTCATACTCAATTGCAGCATAAAGATTTTCATTAATAGTGAACAAAATTATGCCAAAGGTTAAAAGTCCATATTCCAAAAAAATGAGTAACATTCATTCACAAAGCAAGTATTTAATAAGATCTTTGAAAGCTTGTTAATTAAAAAAATAAGCTGTTGATTTTGGTAAACAATATAGTACTTACTTCAGAAAGTGAATAGTTTTCCTAAGCCTGCTATCAGGGATAGTAATATTTTACAAATCATTTTACTAATATTTGTTTTATCTTTCTGCTGATTGTAAATCAGTATGTAAACTATTTACAGTATGTGACTCTTATTACCAGTCATTCCTGTTTGCTTATATTTTATTCTCTTTGCTCAATTGGTGGTTTCATTTTTTTAAATTTGATTCTTTGTGTGTATGAGTGTTTTGCCTGCATGTGTGTTTGTGCACCAGTGTGCCTGTCTGGTTCTGGAAGAGGCTGAGAGGGCATCAGATCTTCAGGGACTAGTGTTACAAACAGTTGTGAGCTTCCATGTGGCTGCTGGGAATCAAACCCAGATCCTCTGAAAGAGAGCAGCCAGTGTTCTTAATCACTGAGCTATCTCTCCAGCTCTGGTTTTATTTTTGTATTGTATTTTTTGGTTCTGAGAATGAAACCTGTAGCCTTATACATGGCTAAACATACACTCTGCCACTGACCAATACTCACAGCCTTGCATTATTGCTTTTGTCTCTAGTTTCTTTTCTGTTGTATCCATTGTGTGTGTGTACAATTTTAAAGGTTTTTAGCCAGTTGAGAGTAGTTACAGGTACCAAGTTCTTTTACCTCTAAATTACATTTTTAGGTCTCTATTTGTTATGGGTTATCCTTTTTACAGCTAAATTACCATTATCAAAGTCAAGAAATGTAATTTCATTAATAGTATTATTATCTAATTTATAATTCATGTAGACATACTACCAATTGATAAGTGATGTTCTTATATTTTTGGTTGTGAGCCTAGCCTTTAACGGCTGAGCCATCTCTCCAGCCCGATAAGTGATGTTCTTTATTGCTTTGTCTCCTAGTCACATTTCAACTCAGGGTCACACATTATACTCAACTATATTATATGCAACTATCACAATATTGCCATCATCTTCCTTTTCTTTTTCCTCCTCTTCTTGTCACTGTGTAACCCTGACTAGCCTGGAACTTGTTATGTAGACCAGGCTGGCCATAAACTAAAAATACCTGCCTGCCTCTTCCTCCTGAGTGCTTGGATTAAAGGTCTTGCCTTCCTTTTTAGTTTTTTGAGATAGGATTTCATTTTGTAGCCGAGGCTAGCCTGAAACTCATGGAGATCTTTTTGTCTCAGCCTCCCAAGTGCTGGCATTAAATGTGTGAACTATCACTTCTGATACCATCATCATTCTTTATTCTCTTTTGGCCTAGATAGCTTCTTAATCCCTACTTTCCCCTTTGACTGTGACATTTGAAGAGTTTAAATGAGTTACTTTGTAGACTCTTCTTCAACTAGGTTTTGTCTGATTTGATTCAGTAGGAATTGCACAGGTAGATAATGTTTCTCGGCTTCATCAGGAGAGGCATAATGTCCATTTGCCACATTGATGAGTGAACAGTAGTCACTCAGTTAGGATGATTGCTTCTAGTTTTCTCTACTGTGAAGTTAACCTATTCCTCTTTGAGATTAATAGTGATTTGAGAGGAGATACTCTGAGATCGTAAATGTAGCGTTTCTCATTAATCACTTACCTACGTTTTAGCATCATTTTCAAGGGTTTTTCCTGTATGTGCTCTGGAATAAGGATGCTTTGTTTCAGGAGAATGCCTTGATTCCATTTGTAGTTTCTAAGGTTCCTTCTTGGTATATTCACCCCCACAAAGAGACATCTAGGCCCCATATCTAATTCCTGAACTGTCTCTTCACAAGTAGAGTAGAAAGTCTTGGGCATCTTCCTGATATGAAACTTGGCCACCCTGGCATGGTCCATCACACCGTATTATGCTTCTGATATTGCTTTTTTAATGTTAGTCACTTTGTTTTGTACTTTTTATTATTATTTTCTTCTCTGTTAGTGTCTCAAGGATAATAATAACAACCAGGGAATGATTAAGCTTCATGCTTATAAACTTATTTTAATTGCCTCATTCCAAACCATTGTTCTACCTCTGTAGTTTCTCCTAACCATGGAGGAGCTCTAGACTGTTGCTTGGATCCTGATAGACAGTGAGTTAAGCAAGACTGTTAGATCAAAGACATTTTTCTAGGTCAGTCATGAAAATCACACCATATGTTTTCTGAAGCTACTGTGCCTTTTTTCCCCTTCCTACATGGTCCTTCTGTTTTTCCGTTCTTACTTATGAAGGGTAGCCTTACTGATTTTCAGATTTTTTAAAAAGTATTTTTTTTTTCATTTATATCCAGCTTTATCTCTAAAAAAATTTTTTTTTCCTTTCTTTTTTTGGGATGGGGTGGGGTTTTGTTTTGTTTTTTGCAGGGAGGTTTCAAGACAGGGTTTCCTTTTGTAGCCCTGGCTGTTCTGGAACTCATTCTGTAAACCAGGCTGGCCTGAGAGATCTGCCTGCCTATGCCTCCTGAGTGCTGGGATCAAAGGCATGTGCCATCACTTCCTATCTAAAAGGTTTTAAGGTGTATTAAATAAAGATTATATTAAGCAAACCAACAGAGAACTAGGAGAAGAGTAGAGATTTAAAGAAACTGAGCATGAGGCAAATGTGAAAATTAATGTCATACAGACATTGTTTCAATTCAGAACTCAGTTTTTGGCAGCATTTTTCCTGAAGATTCATAATCTTAGGAGGTCAGAGTGAAGATGATTTAAAAAAAAAATACACAGGTTATGCAAAATATTCTTTTTGAGGAATTTCATTAGCTAATTTATTTGGTAAAATATATTGTTTAAGATGAAAACTAGGAGCAGAGCAGTGGTGGTGCACACCTTTAATCCCAGTACTTGGGAGGCAGAGCCAGGTGGATCTCTGTGAGTTTGAGGCCACCCTGGTCTACAGAGCGAGATCCAGGACAGGAACCAAAACTACACAGAGAAACCCTGTCTCAAAAAACCAAAAAAAAGGATGAAAATAGGATATATAATATACATAATATAAAATATTCCTCAGTGTTTTTGACTACAGAACTCTTTTTGTAGAAAAATTTGTGTAATTGATGTTCTCTAGAACATTGGGGCAGTGCTTCAGAGGGAAGGTTTATATTGTAACATAGAAGGATTCTAGATAACGCTTAGCATAGAAGAGATGGCTTAGGGAGGTAAGACATCTGGGAATCATTTTCTGTGAAGAAAGATTGGTGGGGATGGGTTGGCTTGGAGTGGTCTGGGAACTGTTAGACATGTTGAGGTCT